TGAAGAAAGTAATTTACTTTGTACTCAGTTGCACTTTAGCCATTCACACTGAGTTAATAATTCACTTTTTGGGTTTAATTTAATTCTGTTGTGTTACTTCTGCTCCTGGACTGCTTTATTGTTTGCTCATTTTCAAGCTGTAGCATATTATCTTAGACCAACATAATCCAAAAAGGAGAACAGCACCTAACAAACTTCAGTTCCCATGCTGACAGACGGTGAATGTACACTGTAGTTTTGTACACCCTTAAAGCAGAATTCCACCGATTTCTCCAAGTTTCCATATAATCAAATCCTTGAGATGTAAACAAAGTCATTCAGAGTAGTTTAATGTGAAATGCTGCATTGCATGGAAATTAACCGACTTTTTCTTTACAATGGTGGTGATAGGAACCTGGGGTCACACTGTCGTTATATTTACTCTCAAAAACGTCCATTGAACCGACACAGGTCTTCTGAGTTTTAATGTGTAATGTTGATCATGGCAAAATAGTGGTATAGTGGTAAAGCTGAAAAAAGATCACATTTTCTTTAGGGACTATTTTGTCCTGCTAAACCCTGCATCTACTTCTCTACCAGAAATGAATTTAAAAACATATATTTTAGACCTTATTTATATACATATATATTTACATATCATGAAACAGTGTTTAGAGCATCCTGTGTATTCATAACCATTTCATGTAATAACTTCCTGTCAGGGAGCTGTCAGAGGCATTAAACTCTTCAGACCTCCGGTTCCCATCATCATCACTGTGAATGATGTGTGATAAGTGGAATTTCCCTTTAAAAAGGGGGTTTTTCCTAGATTCTTTACTAAAGTGAATGATTAAGGTAGTTTTTGCTCCTTTTATGTCAATATTAGTCTATATTTCGAAGTGCCAACACTTTTACTTGAGGACGGGCTTAAGTTACTTTAAGCACATGTTTAAATTGAAATAAATATATTAGCTGGATAGATGTTATCCAAGTTTTACTATTTTTCTTTATTGTCATGCAAATGCTATTGAAATCCTCAGAAGCCCCAGATATCCACCTTCCGAATCTGCTCTGTGTGTTAGCTGCTCTCTGAGCAGAAAGAAAAGCCTCACGCTTGTATTTGACGTTTCTCACACTGGAGCACTTGTGGTTATGAGTACAGAAAGAGAGAGTGTTCTGTTTCCCATCAAAATAAATGAGAACAAGGGGACGACCCTCTCTGAGACTTAAACGTGGATCTTGTTCAGTTTAAACACTTACGAGGATCATCTTTCCTTTTCGTGTTTATTTTAATATGAAGCTGCAGAAAGAGTGAACCCAAACTGAAAATGTTGTTCTTCAAGTTTTTCCCTCTAATCTGCGGCCCATCAACTTTGAGTTGTTGAGAAAACATTTGCCGTGTGCAATATTGCATTTGTGGAAAGAAGAGAAAGAGAGAGCCCTGGCCTTTCCAACTGCAGCCCTTTTCTTATTGCTGTTAAAGCTGTATCCACTCATAAAATCACGATTTTGTTTTTATTAAACTGTTGTGTTTGCTTTGTGAGACCTATTTTATGATAAAGGACATTTAAATGTAATATGAAGACAGAGTCACAGTCATAGTTACGACAGACAAGCAATGGAAAGGCCTCATATTGTATTAGTCTTTGTATGGTGGATGTTGTACAGGTATATCAGATTCAGTCTGGGCCTGATTTAAATCCTTAATGTTAATTTGCTACATTGAACTAATTTTAGGCCAATCTAAAATGAAAGGCTGTGAGGCCTATGAAAGCTAATGCAACAATTCCTAGGTGCAGTAACCATATTATTTAAAGTACACGCTTGTGTAACAGAGTAAAAGTGGTACATAGGCTTTTGCACTGGAAAACTCATTCCAAGAAAAGACCAGATAAGAGGACTCTGGCCTAAAAACAGTGGTGTTGTTGGACTTTCGGCAAAATGTCCTGCATGCATGTTTATCTAAGTGCCAAATTTAGCCTTTTTCAAATGTGTGAATGGGCAGACATAACAGCTTAAAAGTTATAGTAATGACCATTCAATATCATATATGCCACAGAAGAACCTCTTTTGGTTCTCTAACAAAAGTGGTTTTCAAAAGACCCTTTTAAAAACTTGAAATGTTTTTAAAATATTGAATCACTGACATGTTCCAAAAGTGGTTCTTCTTTTGCATTTCTTGTGGCTCACGAAGGAACCTTTAACTAAATGTTCCTAATGGTGTATGACACTGCTTAACCATCAGTAGATGATTCCTACATTCTTATATTTTCATTATATAAAAAGTTCTTTAAAAAGGTTCTTCACACTTCAACTCATTTACATTCTCTGAAGTTTTTTTTTTACTGGTTCTTCTAATGCTTTACTTTGGATTCCCTAAAGAACCTTTAACTGGATGGTCCTGATAGTTTATGATAAAATAATTAAGGTTCCTTGTCTTGGACATCCGGTTCAGGGCAAGGAGCTTTACATTACATAGAAGATTATTTAAACTGTAGAAAGTTTTTGCACTTGTTTAGCTCGTGTACTGAACTGCAGAGCCACATTATTGGCATGACAATGTCAAATTGAAGGAAAGTTGCATTTCTTTATTTGTTTATCAAGGACAATTCGCATTAACAAACATAAAGTAAAAGGTGCTAGCGTTAGCCAGTTGTCCCATTATCAACTGCTGAGTTACTTTGACTCTGTCAATTTTAATGGATTTTTACCTCTCAGATTGTTTCCAAATTAGGTTTCTTTTAGTATTTTTGTGAAAGTCTGAAAGTCTATTAGGAAACCAAAAGTGGTTCTTCTATCACAGGGATGCCCGATCCTGGTCCTGGAGATCTACCACCCTTGAGGTTTCAGATTCAACACACTTGACTGTGATATTCAGATGCCTCTGAAGGCCTTCAATACCTGAATCAGGTGTTTGATTAGGGTTGGAGCTAAACTCTGCAGGGTGGTAGATCTCCAGGACCAGGATTGGGTAACCCTGTTCTAGCACCTCACTTTTGGACCCTTAAAGAACCTTTCAGTGGATGGTCTTGATGGCATCCTACCTTCTTAAAAACAAAGTTTCCCTGTCTTGGCAGAATGGTTCAATGAGAATCCTTCAATGTTTATAGAAGCATCTTTAAGAAGGTTCTTCACACCTGCTCAGCTCATTTGCTTTCACTGAAAGGTTTTTTAGGGAGCTATAAGTGGTTCCTCTGTGGCATCACTCCAAATCTCCCTTTTTAGAGGTCCAATGAAATCAGGCTGAAACCCCAATGCCAGTGTTTATTACACTTAAACAGTCAAGAGCAATTTGTACAATTTGTAGCCATGGGTGTAGGGCGTAAATGTTGACAGCAAGTCCTAATGAGCAGCTATGACTATCATTTTCCTTTCATTACTGGCTTATGAGATCCTACGGGCCGGCTGTAGAGTGGGCTTAGTGGCCTGGGCCTGTAGAGCAGTGAGCGTCACCGTCTGCTCCATCTAAGGAGCCCATCTGTGAGGAGGAGGACAGATGGGAGCCGCTGATTGAGAGACGCTGCCTCTCTCTCGCGCTCCAAACCTTTGGGTGGATGTCGTTCTATTTACACTTCTGACCAAAAGAATCCTATACACAGGAAATGCTTGTGAATGTGAGTTCCCCTTGCTCAAATGTGGGGAAGTTTATTTATTTCCACGAGCATTCCTGATTCGCACTCTCCGAGGCTGCAGCGTGAGGCCACTGCGCTGAGTGAGAATCATGGCTATATATAGTGGCAGGGAACGCGGTGGGTACCGAAGGGGTTGGTTCTTCATACTAAGATTAGACTTTGTTCTAAAGATAAATGTAATTAGTTGAGGGACTAGACTTTGAAAGTACTGTCAGCTTTCAGTATTTTGGTGGGACAAAACCGGCTTGAGTACCACTTCAGGTTAAGGTTAAGGCCTCAACTGTGACTTTGACAATTGATGTCCAAAAAAAATGTTTTTTAAAAAAGCAAAAGTACAAAATTAACTTACATAGTAATAGGGCAGTGCAGCTGAAATGCTAATCTCTTTTAAAATATAACTAAGAAAAAAAATCTCAAGGGAACTGTAGCTTTACCAAAAGAAACACATTCTAGGGAATAATTAGACAAAGATTTGAACAAAAGGTCTTTACTTGAGTGAAAAACATTTTATTTGTACAATACGCATTACTTAAGGCAGTTGTGTTTGCATCCCAGACTTTCTTCCCTTAACAGTCAAATCAGAGTTCACCCCTGATATGTTTTTTGTTGTTGTTTTTTTTCCCCAAAAATGTTCACAACTGATTTCATCCATGAGGTACTGAAGTAGAGGAGAGAAGCAATGGCATTAAACAATTTGTAATTTGTCTTGTATTCCTATTACAAGCACAGAAAGGAGCATAATAAAAACCATAGTTCAAATAAACATTTACATTTACACAGCAACATCCGTGAGGGTTTGCGTCGGCTGGCTCTCGGCTGGTAATACATCAACAGAAGTAAGTACTGTCAACCATGCATGAACCTGCAAATGGGCCACCCAGGCTGTGCCAAACCCAAATAATAATAATAATAATAATAATAATAATAATAATAATGATGTTAGATCTTAATTATCTGATAGAACACTATTCCTGTCTTTTTCATGCTGTGTGATTGTCAGAGAGAAAGTGTTAATGTTACTGAATCCCATCCAGTTGTTACAATAAAGCTATAGACTAAAGTTTACTGAGTTCATGTGCTGCCTTAATTCCGAAGCCACAATATAGGGTTGGATTCGGGTACTATGGGCCATCAGGTAACACGGAACAGTATTTCAGATGGTGTTATATGACCTAAATGACACTGTGACTGTGGCACTCAGTGACCTCATATTCTCATAAACTGCGCCTAATGCCATTTGGTGCACTCAGGTAAAAGGGGACAGCGTGTTTGGTGCTATGGGACACTTTGGTAATTTGGGACAGCCAACGTTTCACATGAAAAAAAAAGACTTTTGTAACTTTGTAACATGTTTACATTATTTCTTTTTTCTCATTTAGAAACAGTATCTCTCAATTAGAAACACTAAACTTCAAAAGGTCCCTGAAGTGTCCCCCTGTTACCTGATGGTCCGTAATACCTGAGTTCAGCCTTTGCTGGTCATCAATACAGTTTCTCTGCAGCCTCCTCGCTGTAGCGTGCGTTCTCTGCAGGCCACGTCACGCGCACGTACGAGCGTAGCGGCTCGAGCACAAGCGGCGGCCGCGGCGGCGCACCAGCCTCCTCCGAGCGCACGCACGCGCAGGTCCGCTGGACGCTGCTGACCTTCCGCGCTAGGATGCTCTCGATGCTGAACGCCTTCGCTCTGTCCGTCGCCTTCCGCGGCTCAGGCTCGGGCGCGCTCCCGGCCGGCGGGGCGCGCACTGCGGGGCTCCCCGGGGCCGTTTTCAGGGCACCAGGGTTCGACTGAGTTACGGAGGGACTCGGCTCTTCCTCCCCCGCGGAGCTCAAGCGCACACCAGACGGGAGCGCACCGCAATTTGGGGCGCGTGCCTCCCCGTTCCACCGGCCAGCTCCTTCGTGGTCCTCCTCTCGCTCTCCTCCTCTCATCTCTCCCTTTGCGTCCATCACAAACGCCTCTTTCTTCTCGAGCAGCCTGGCGGCGCGCGCTCCCGCGGGCGCGTGACCCCGGGCCCTCTTGTGAGGCGCCTTGTCGTCGCGCGCCTCCTGCCCCCTGCCCTTCCTCTTCCTGCGCCGGTAGTTACCGTTCTCGAACATGTCCAGGCACTTGGGGTCCAGCGTCCAGTAGCTGCCCTTGCCCGGCCGGCCCTTCTCGCGCGGTACTTTGACGAAGCAGTCGTTGAGCGACAAGTTGTGGCGGATGCTGTTCTGCCAGCCCTGCTTGTTGTCGTGGTAGAAGGGAAAGTTGTCCATGATGAACTGGTAGATGCCGCTGAGCGTGGCGCGCTCCTCGGGCGCGCTCTTGATGGCCATAGCGATCAGGGCGATGTAGCTGTAGGGCGGTTTCTGCGGAGGCTCCCGGCGCGCCGAGGCAAAGCCCAGCGCAGGAAACACGCCACCCAGCTCGCCGCCGTACACGTAGATGAGGGGCGAGCCGCTGAGGCCCAGCGCCGAGGCGCCCAGACCGGCCTGCGCGGCTGACCGGTGATGGTACAAACTCATGACCGGCTGCCGGACGAGAGTTTCAGCCCGTCAGAAGACACTGAGCTTGAGCCCATAGAGGTGGCTGTGGTGGCCGAGCGGCTCGCGCTGCCTCTCTGAAAAATGTTAAATAATCGTTGTACGTTTGCTGTTTTATGTTGACTTAGCGCTGGAAAATAAATCGTCTATGATAAACACTCGCTGGGTTCTCAAGCCCACCCACATTAATTAAAGTTTCATTGGAGAGAGCGCTGGGCTGCTGTCTTTCCCACCCGTATTCGGGTAGGCCCCGCCCTTCTGCGCTGTGATTGGCTGGGAGTTCTCACTCACAACTCAGTTTTCCCTTTTCCACCTGTATTCACCCTTGTTCCCACCTGCATTGCGGCACGCCGCACTACGATTGGCTGCTGGTTTGTATTCGCAGGCAGTCCGCGAGTACGCACTACTAGCCAATCCTAGCGCAGGATTCCGAGCCAATCGCAGCGCAGGAAGGAGGGGCTCGCCTGAGTACGGGTGGGAAGGCCCGAGCTCTCAGCCCGCGTGTCCCCACGCAGCCAGCCAATGGCGTGCTCGCTTATTCCCCTCATTTGTTTACAGAATTAGGCTGTTGATAAGTCTTGCCCACCCAAGTCGAATCAAGCTGTGTTTATTTGGAAAAATTTCCGGGCACCCAATACATAAACGCGCTGATCTGATGTTTGAAATATCACGTCCACCCCTCGACGCTGAGAGTTGCTCGCACAGAGAGAGAACAAGCAAACAGGACCGAGCCCTTTTTTTCTGGGACTTTCTTTTTGGGGTTGGCTGGAAAGAAAACAAAGTATGTAAAGGGGAAATAACTTCAACAGTTTCTTTTTACTTTGTCAGCCACAGAGCTTCTGAGATCCAGGATGTTTTCACTGACACTAAATCCCCCTGTCTGCTCACACCATAATTCATATTTGTTGCATCATATGATTTCATCTTTGTTGTTTGTGGAAAAGACGGAGTGATAAGCTGAAACAGAAGTGAAGATCTGTTCACAGAAAAAAAAATCACCATTAGCTTCTACAGAGCTGAGCTGAATCTAATTCAGCTCTATGATCCTCTGCACAGTCTTAACTAGGTACACATTTTACGAAGCATCACAGTTGCAAGAATCTGGTCAACAAAAGCTTATGACAGCAGCTATTTCCAAAAAAGGAGAACTTGGCTGGACACTGGGGTAAACTATATTATTTGTGGATGTGTGCATGATGCTTTATATTATGTATTTTCCTGTTTATAGGAGCGAGGGGGATTATAACAACTTTACAAGTGCACACAGCTGGCCCATGATTACATTACGTGTTTGGAGGTTTCAGTGGATAAACTTAGAAGTTTTCCTGAGTTTGACTTTTCCCTCTACAGACAGTGATTCATAAAGTTTTAGACCAAAATACCAGACCCAACAGCAATGAGCCTCAACGTGTGGCGACCAAGCATGTTCAGTCAGTTACTTTTTTTTTGTCTGCAGACGGTCATTTTATTTTGATGTTTTTGTTTTTTTTTTTCTGAACAATTTGTCGTACAAAATTAAGTAAAAAGCATCTAATGACAAAACGTCTGGGAGAAGTTTAACAGAAAACCAGAGTGACCAAAGACATAAATTAACCAGGATTATTGCTCGTGCAGTTTTACGATTGCTATAAACTGTTCATTTAGAACAGTTACAATATTATCAAACTCATCACGTTCATTAGACGTAATTTGGAGCAACTCAATAAAAAAGAGTGATTAAATCATTAATATAATTGAGCTAAGTTGTAATGTTTATTTGTGCAGCAATTAGTTCCTGTATTATGCTTTCAATTAATCTGTGTTTGCTTTTTATTATGTAACTCTGTGATGAGTTGCCTCGTTGGCCAAAGATTATTCAGTTTGAACATCTGAAGAGGAAGACAGCTGACACGGATCAATGACCCTCAGTCAGCTATTTACTTCTTCAAGTGTATTTTTCCTATCATGCGCTAACATCTCTGTATGGGCTACCAATGTTATTTTTTATTTTAATGTCATATGATCAGATTAATCTCTGAAGGTTTAATGTAGGGGTTAACGACTCCGGTTCTGGAGGGCTGATATCCAGGACAGTTTTGTAGTTCCCCTACTCAAACAGGCCCACTAAACCTGGCAATTAATAGATGAACTGAAGGCCCTCTGGGACTGGAGAGTGCACCTCTGCTTTGAAACATTGTTTCTTTTTTCCTCAATATTTAAACCATTGTTTCTTCATTGTGCTCCTGTGGACCCCATGCACTGTACAATTTCAGTTAATCCCTGCTTCAACACAGCTCTCACAGTCTGGAGGTCAGGAAGCCAGCACAGTTTGGTGTTTTCCCCGCTCGACTGGACTCTGAGACCCTCTGAGGGCTATGGCTCCCCAGGAGCAGGACTAAGAAACACTGGTTTACAGAGAAAAAATCTTCTCATAAGGAGTTCCCAGTTCTAGAAACAGTAATTACTACCTTTATTAGGCTGCCAAGCTAAGTACACACTTTTTGCTTTCTCAAATTACATTTTATTAATAACACACCTACTGCAGTGTATATACTTGTATTTATTTTCTGTATTTATTGTTCTATGTCCCTGCACTATGTCCTGTCTTGCACTATGTCCTGTCCTGCACTATGTCCTGTCCTGCACTATGTTGTCTGTAATTGCACTGGAGATCTAGCCTAAAAGTGTTTCGTTGTACTGTACAACCCTGTTTCAGTATAATGACAATAAAGTTTAATTGAATTGAATTTTGACTCACTTGCCTTAAAATAAACCTGACTATTGAATGCTGCCCTCTGGTGGGGATGGATGGATGGATGGATGGATAGATAGATAAATAGATTGATTTCAATAATGTGTAATTTTTATATATCAAATCATTTCTTTAAAAAGTGAAACTGAGGCCTCTATCAATTTACGTGTTAATAATTTCACTTCATTTTAATATGTTATGGCAAAAAACAAATGTTAGTAAAATAAAAAAAAGTCAATTTTGTTTATTGATTAGTTATTGTGATTATATCACTTAATGATCATAATATGTATTACATTTATTCGTGTAAATTCGTTTGATGTTATTATTATTATTATTATTATTACTATTATTATTACTATAAATAATGCTTTTACAAGACAGATTAGGTGTGGACGTACCTCAGCAAGACTCAACAAGGAAAAAACCCATTAAGGTGGCTATAATGTTGCCTAAACCTAGCTAACGACTGCGCTAGCATGTAATGCTAATGCTAGCTAGTCAGTGAACAACTTTACACAACTTAACAGAAATGCATAGATCACTATAATCAATTGGCAACAGAAATAGATCAACTCACCCAAGAGCTTTCCAGGGGAGTACATTAAATCCCAGGACTGCAGTCATTTAGATTTGGACCCATCATTAGGTCAAGAGAGAAATTAAGAAAGGGGGACATCTTACCCTGGGGGGGTCTTCTTCCCCCAACTTACTCTCTATACGCTAGATATAGTTGCTTATAGCAACTATAGTTATAGTTGCTTATAGTTATGTATTAAATCTATCGCTTGTTTATTCCTAAAGTGGTGTGTCTGTCATTAATGTAACACTTTTTAAAGAAATGTGGATCTCTAAAAACATTCACATCTGGAGGTATTTACAATACTCTAAAAACAGAAGGAAGTTATGTTCTTAAAATCTCAGCTTTAAAGGCTTTTTTAAGTATAAAATTAAATTGCAGCCTCCACTGTGATTTTACTCGCTGTATGACTATTATTTTGAAAACGTGCCGCCGGAAGTGTTCGTCTCGCTCGCACAGGAAGTTGAAGTATCAGCTGATGTTGGTGTTTTTGATGGAACTTGCAGTGGGAGCTGCTGAGGGGGCTTTTTTGTTCTTCTCTGGCGGAGCGGACCCTGAGCCTAAGACACAGTGAAACAGCGGCAGCAGGAGCAGCGCCTGTGAGGAGGCCGAGAGCAGCGCTGTGTGATGAGGAGGAGCGCAGTGTCGCTGTTAGCTCAGCTCTCCGCTCGCTGCTGAATCCCGAGCAGAGAAAGGAGAAAAACAACAAGGCGAGGCAGGAGCAGCGCTCAGTGACCTGTCTGCGCCGGAGCCGCTAGTGTTAGCGGGTCAGCGTAACGGCAGCAGCCCGAGCCTTTCAGAGGGAAAAAGCACCGCTAGCTGCCGTCGTTAGCCGCACGCTGAAGAAGAAGAACCGTTAGAGCAGACGGAGGGAGAATAACCGAGTTTTTCACTGTTTGTGAAACGACAGCTGACGTGTTTTCAGTTCGGCTGGATTGCATCATCGGGCTGGATATCTGATTATAAGTTTGGCAGTCACCTAGTTCAGAGCTGCTGCGAGTGAAACACTTGGCGTGTAGATATTGTAGATATCTGTATTTTAAACGAACCCGGTTTTCTTTTTTTGACTGTAAGACTGTTAACCTAACTGGTTCATGTTTGTAGACTGACCGGGTAGAAGACAGCCTGTTACTTGTTTAATTCTTCCTGACGTACTTATAATATTTAAGAGGGTTTTATGTATTTTACAGAACCTCGTCATTTTGACCGGTTGAAGTGTTTCTAGAGAAGTGTGTTTGTCTAGATCAGTACTTTGCTGCCGCTGTCGCCTCGTTATTTATAAGCATGCTGACACTGTCTGGAGTCGGAGAGAGAAGATAGAAGGGTTGCAGTATTCAAACACATTTAGCTTGCTGTCTTATTTAAGTTGTTTCGTCCGGGACGAAAACCGTGTTCAAGTCTCGTGTGTAGCTTTTAGCTTTTAGGCTAACTTAGCTACTCTCAACGACTGGCACGACTCGCACGTTGATGTTGTCTGTCAGAGAGGCGGAGCTAAGATCGACTGTTTAACAGGAGTCTTTAGTTGGTGTTTTGTGAGAGGACAGGTCCAGAACTGGCACAGTCCGAGAACCTCGTTGAAAACCCAATGCTGGATCTGGAGGTGGTTCCTGAGCGATCTCTGGGAAATGAACAATGGGAATTCGCATTAGGTAAGTCAGATCAGGCCGAACTTGGATAACCAGCTAGAGAAAATCCCCTCAGAACAAAAGTTGAATTACCTCAAGTCCCTCTGCACTCAGCTTGGTCTGCTTCAGTCACTTTCTTCATTATCGCCCCACTTTTTTGCCAGATTGGTACAGGTGGTTTTCATATTTGCAACCCTTAATCAGAAGAAATTACGTAAATTTAGAGATGGGCGATATGGCAACATGCCATATGCATCGTGATACATATGTGATGCATCATATGTATCACAAGACTTCACGAAGTTTTTACGATACATCATATGTCACGATATTTTTTTTGACATCTGATTAGTTAGAACAGATGAAGTAATGACACATTTTGGAAAATACTACCTATAACTATGAATATAAGTATTTGTATTCAACATTTTGCACACTGTGATGCACTAAATCCAATTAAACATGACTAATAATGCTTTGATTCTAATCAAACATGCAATTGGGAAGTGTTTTTAAATACCACAATATGCTCAAAAAAGCCTACTGTGACATATTGTGATGTTGTCATACTGCTGAGCTCTACGTAAATTAACTCAAGGAATTGACTCACTGCTTGCCGCTGTCTCTGTTTAAAGGGATGCCATTGGCCCAGGCCATTTCCATCTTACAAAAGCACTGCCGAATCATCAAGAATGTCCAGGTGCTCTACAGCGAACAAGTAAGACTTTACAAATCTTTAACATGTGGGAGAAAAAAAAACAACAGATTTTCAGCTGTTATTTGCCTGTTGGAAAGTGAAAATGAATAACGCATAGCTGCACGTCTAGCTGTTGGTGTCTCTGGTTGCTTCTTGACTAATTTGCATCCCCCCGTCGAACCTGTTTTTCTTCCTTACAGATGCCACTCAGTCACGACCTCATACTCAACTTGACTCAGGATGGAATTAAACTGCTGTTTGATGCCTGCAATCAGAGACTAAAGGTTGGTGAGAAAGTGTGTGTGTGTGTGTGTGTGTTAACTAGAATTTTGTCCTGATCGTTTTTTGATACATTTATGTCAGGCTGTTTCCACTTAGTGATTGTTGGTTTTTGCAGGTAATTGAAGTGTACGACTTGAGCAAAGTGAAATTGAAATACTGGTAAGTGATTTTATTCAAACTTAAAAAAGATGAAAGCATAGAAATTTGAAGCCACTCACATAATTTTCTCCACCAGAAGACAGCAGCACAACCTAAGCAGTGGTCACTGACAGCTGTGTACTTGTTTGTAAAATGTTATCACCAAGATACACTTGCACATTCCCTGGCTAGTGAAATGGCATTATGTCTTATGTTCACCAGGCCTTTTGAAAAATGCATGAGAGTCTCACAAGGGGCTTATTGGCTCAGAGCTACGGCACCATCTGCTGGACAAAAACTCGGATAGTTTTACTTTGAGTGTGAGTGTGTCAACCAAGTACTGCACAGAACAAACATAACCGCTTCCTCCTTACCTTACAGTGGAGTGCATTTTAACTCTCAGGCAATAGCACCTACCATTGAGCAGATTGACCAGTCCTTTGGCGCTACTCATCCAGGAGGTAAAGCTGTCTGTCTTCCTCTGCTGATATTAAGGCACACAATCTGTTCACTGCTGCATAAGATGAACTGCTATGCTTTTGCCACGGATTTCATTTGTTTTGCAAGTATGTGTGATATGTTTAAAGGGCCATATCATGGAAAACCTTGATAATTTCAAACGATACCATTTCATGTTTCAAAATATACCGTTCATTCCCCTGTCTGTGTATTTTATATGTCAAAACTAAGTTGCCAAAATATGGAGAGCAGTTAGTGCCAGATTAAAAAGCGATCACTACAGTGGAAAAATGTGAAATGCAGTGTACACATATCATTACTTTTCCATAGTGACATGCAGAATACGTGCTAAAATGAATGTAATGTTATAGATCTTTTACTTTTCTTTATGGCATGTTTTCTGCATGTTGCTTTTTAACTACAGTCTTGTGTGTGCACTGCATTTCACTGTTTTGGTTGCATTTCAATGGGGCAGATACATTTGAAGTATAAAAAAGAGGTCAGTTGACATGAAAACATTGTAATAGAGGTTTTGCTTTTCATTGTAGTGCATGTTCCACATTTCACCCATGGAAAGGTATCGTGTGCATTGTATTTCACTGTTTTCACTGTTACGACTGCATGTCAATGAGGGAAAATCCATTTAAAGGGATGCACTGTGTAAAGCAATATAGCCATGCCCTGGTTACATTTTAAAGTGGATTGTATTCAATTCTGACATTAATTCAGCATTTACAGTTCTTAAAATGCATATCCTGGTGCATTACTTTTCAATAAAGAGGTAAAATGATGTGAAAACAGTGGAATAAGGGGTTTGTTTTTTGACACCTTTTACTGCATGTCACTATGGAAATGTAATGTCATGTGTGCTTTGCATTTCACATTTTCAACTGTAGTGGTTGCTTTTCAATTTGGTGTGAATTCCTTTCCATACATAAAGAGCCAGTTTTGAATTCCTTGATTTTTGTTAAGTCACAAAAACCAATGCCTTTTCATATATTTGCCTATTCAGTCTACAGTAGTTTAGCCCACCCGTTCCAGTTGATGTGGTAAGGAGTGTGTCAGCCAAGACTGAGTTTTGAACTAGGCACACAGGGTGGCCAATCAGAACAGAGATCATTTGCATATGTCAGTCTGAAGGCACAGTGCCAAAAACAGCCTGTTTAATTCTAAAGAATTGAAGAATGGTGATGGTAAGAAATGGGTCTGGTTAATGATAAGAATTAAGTATTACTGTTTTTGGTATATGTGCCAACATAAAGACCACAAGTAGAATTGAGGGAGAAGGGAATCAAATCTAAGAGAAATATAGGATATGGCCCCTTTAAATGTCTCACACGGAGGTATGGTCATGAGCACAAATGGAGACCGGATCAGAGAGGGAGCTGTGGTGTTGATTTGGTCTGTTTGCTCTGCGCCCAGTCTACAACGCTGCAGAACAGCTCTTCCATCTGAACTTCCGTGGCCTCTCCTTCTCCTTCCAGCTAGACTCATGGAGTGAGGCCCCTAAGTATGAGGTAAGCCTGTTGAAAGCTCCCTTTCAGCACTGTTCTGTTCTTTGTTTTTCTGTTTTTCTGCACTATTTGTTTCATAATTTGGAAATGTTCTGTTGTCATACTAAAATATATACTTTGTATGTCCCAAAGTATCAGGACACCCCTTCTAATAGTGAATTCAGCTACTTTAAGGTGCACCTGTTGCTGACACAGCCATTCACTTGCACACACAGCTTGTGAGATTTCCATGGAAATTCATTGCTTATAGAATGGGATAGAGGGGTAGAATTTATATGTCTCTAAAGCCCCCAACACTAGGTTGTGGAGTAGTGGTATTGTGTTCTCTGGAGTGCTTGATCTCTATCCATTATATTTATGGGGGGTTGGTTTGACCCAGAACTAATTATCCAACATTAGTAGTGTTTTTGTGGCTGAATGCAATCAAATCCTCACCACAATGTTTAACATTTAGTGTAAAGCCTTCTCAGAAGAGTTGAGGCTGTTACTACAGAAAAGGGAGAACAAATTCCTTATTAATACCACAGATTTCAGAATAAACTCTAAACGACCACGTGTATATAAACGTATAGTGAACATATAGAGTGTACAATTATGTAAACTTAGAGAATATTTCATTAAATGCTTTGCTGAGAATAGTAGGCTCGGTCTTTTTGACAATGAAACTAAACTAAAATATAAATGCTAAAAATACACCTCACTGAAGTCTATATTGTAAATGTGAGTAATTATGAGCATATAAAAGCACAGCAACAAGTAAAGAAGGTTTTTATTCTTTTTAAAATTCCCTGACTGTAATTTCCTGCCTGGTCATGCCACCTTGTGAATGTGCCAGCATTTTTTGCCTTTCTTTGCTATAAAACAACACCTACACAACCACACCAATCTACTCCAAGTTGTTTTGCTTTGACAGCCTAACTTTGCCCATGGCTTGGCCTCCCTGCAGATTCCTCATGGGGCTACAGTGAAAAGGATGTACATTTACACTGGAAACAACCTTCAAGAAACCAAGTAAGAGCTCAGTTTTTGTTTGTGTACGCTTGCACATACATCTGCACTAGCTGATAAGAATCTGATTAAGATCCACTTTCAGATTCAGTATGATTGTTGAACATCTGGCTATCTAGTGATGTATCTTTGTTCATGTTGTGTTTTAAGAGCAAAGTTTTGGCTGTTCTGAATGCTTCTGTATTCTTTATACAGTACATTAACTGCAGAGTGGGACCAAGAACAGGATTTGATAGGCCATTTAAATGTCTAAGAAGCTTGAAATACTCTAGCACGTGTTCTCGTTCTCTCTCTCTCTCTCTCTCTCTCTCCCTCTCTCTCCCCTCCCTCTCTCTCTCTCTCTCTCCCCTCTCTCTCTCTCCCCTCTCTCTCTCTCTCTCTCCCTCTCTCTCCCCTCCCTCTCTCTCTCTCTCTCTCTCCTCTCTCTCTCTCTCTCTCTCTCTCTCTCTCTCTCTCTCTCTCTCTCTCTCTCCCCCTCTCTCTCCCCTCCCTCTCTCTCTCTCCCCTCTCTCTCTCTCCCCTCTCTCTCTCTCTCTCTCCCTCTCTCTCCCCTCCCTCTCTCTCTCTCTCTCTCTCTCTCTCTCTCTCTCTCTCTCTCTCTCTCTCTCTCTCTCTCTCTCTCTCTCCTCTCTCTCTCCCCCCTCTCTCTCTCTCTCCTCTCTCCCCCCTCTCTCTCTCTCTCTCTCTCTCTCTCTCTCTCTCTCTCTCTCTCTCTCCCCTCCCTCTCTCTCCCCTCCCTCTCTCTCTCTCTCTCTCTGCCCCAGGGCTCCAGTGATGCCTCTGGCCTGTTTTCTGGGTAATGTGTATGCAGAATGTGTGGATGTTCTGAGAGATGGGACAGGACCCCTGGGTCTCAGACTGCGGCTCCTCACTGCAGGTACGGATACAGATCTTGGTTCCCTGCTACCATATACTGTATACTGTGGTAGTTAAACTATTCACACTTGCACTCTTAAAGGGAAATATCACAGTTTTAAAATTTCTGCAAAACCTGATCGTTGAGACAAAGTCAGAGTGATGATTAGATGTAGTGTATAATAATGTAAACTTGCCAGCTCTGATTTCTTTACAATGGTTTTGATAGGATCTGGGGTTGCAAATATAGCCATTTTATTTTTTTTTCAAACTGACCAGTGAAAATACTTGTATCTTCTAAGTTTTTATATGTAATGTTTATAATGGTAAAACAGTGGTTCAACTAAAAATTGTTTTCTTTGGAAGCTGTGAAACATTGTAGCCACTCTGTCATGAATGGCTTGTAAATCGTGTTTTTAAACATTTGAAAAAAAACAACTGCCATTTATGTGTCTAAATTTCATGACAAACATATCAAAACAAACAGTCCAAAATGATGTAGAGTAAAATCTTGTTACATTCCCTTCATTGAAAGATATGAATGTGTGTGGACATCAGACAGTGTGTTCGTACCTGTTTCGTGTTTACATGTGTTTCATGTCCAGATGGTATTTGGACAAATTCTGACAATTTTCACTAAAATGTGTCCCCAGTTTGTCCAAATGAGATCTGATTGTACTTTTCCTGCGTAAAAAGCACATAAACACATACCTAGTTTCCGTTGTACTTTTATATACCCTTTTCTCCATTACAATTCAACTCAACTAGGACGCTTTTATTGGCCGTAGATATGTATACATATGTGCCATGTGTCTTGTTATCTGAGGCGTTACATCTACACTACGTCTTATGCCTGTGCGTCCATAATGTTTGAGCGATCAAGATCCACTTGTAAATGAATGCATGTGTATTAAGATATGAATACTTCTCATGACTAAATTAGGTTCCTTATTACTCACCCGATTGTCACCAAATTTGTTATAATCAATACATAATATATTTCTGTATGTAGCTGTTTATTTAAATGTTCAATTTACATGCTTACAGGCAGCGATGGGATTCCTTTGAGCAAAGAGATAGCAGATCAAATACTTGAACATGTTTACGGTGTAGATTTAAAAATCACGTTCCTAAACATTAATGTTACAGCTTATTTACAAAAAAATGAGAACCATCCACTGAAAGGTTCTTTATTAATTGTCATAAAATCTGCTATAGCTGCAAATATATACCATATCTTACACATAAGTGTAAGAACAAAATCCAAATTGCCAAGCAGATTTCATCATTTTGACTATTTGCTTACACATATGTTCTGGAGTGCTAAAAGTAATATACCTTGGTAGCTAGGTTGCATGGATGTCTGACATTTTGTTGATTGCTTTTATATCTGTTTCATGAATGACTATGTCTATTTTCATTGGCCCAGAGTGCATGAAGGCTCTTGGTTTGGGGCTAACTTAAGCTTTTTGTATCCTCCATTTTACACTTCATTGTTTATTCTCTTATTTGCTAGCCATCACTCAGCAGACACATTTCCACCCACATAATTGTATAAAGATAGAGAAAACGCATTCTGTTTACTATTGTGTTAAATGTGGTCAAGATCAGTTTCTGGCCATATCTGATCCTTATACCATCACCATTGTTGTGAACAATTCTGGCTTGGCATGTTTCTGAAGAGCAGAGCATTTCACACCAAACCACTCTGAATGACTTTGTTCTTTTCCTTTTAATGGTTTGAAATATTCCAGAGAGGTGAGATGTTTATGCACTTTTTTACCTCCACTCCACTGGGAGGTGCTGTAGCTCAAAACAAAAGCAGTGCATCAGCAGCCTTCCAAAGCTTTTTGTTGTTTCTCAGGGTGTGGTCCAGGAGTGATGGCTGATGCGAAATTGCGGATTATGGAAAGGAACATCTACTTTGGAGATTCATGTCAGGACGTCCTGAGTGCTTTGGGCTCTCCACACAAGGTCTTCTACAAGTCTGAGGACAAGGTAGTGAAGCTAGAGCAACCTAATAGTTTCAATAAGCTTCCTCTACATGCTCACCTAAAAAGAATGTAACCACATAGCCCTGAAAAGTACAGAATTCTCCTCATAAAGTCGCTTTTTAAAGCATTGTCTTATTAATGTTCAGTGATGTTTAAAACACTCCTCCATCCTCTTACCTTTTATTGTAGATGAAGATCCACTCTCCCTCTCCTCACAAGCAAGTCCCGTCCAAGTGTAATGACTACTTTTTTAACTACTTCACCCTGGGAGTGGTAAGTGTTGATGGCAGAAAGGCAGCTGTTTTCTTCAGAGCCCCTGGGGCCTGAGCCAGACACTGCAGTCCTGTTCACACTAGGGATACACCGATAGAGAATCTTTGGACCAAGGAAGAAAAAAAACAAGACTAGGCAAGCCTAGTTTTGCCTAACCGCCAGGCCGCACGCTCTCTCCTCTGCCGCTCTTGGTAAATAGCACTGGAGCAAAGCAGCATGTTAAAAGTGAGGGGGACACAGTTGTCAGTACATGACACCACTCAAACCCCAGCCTGTAGCAGTATGTGCGTTTTTACAGTCAACCCAATTTGAGTGCTTAGGGCAGCGATATACAAACATACCCCACAGGGAAGTTAACCCGACTCACTTATGGATCAAAATTAGCCTTTTAAAGTTTTTAGCCAGACACATGATCTACTTTAAGAATGCAAAACTATAGTTATGCTCCAAAATAAAAAGCAGACCCATCACTGGTGGGGTAGTTACTCAAAAAAATTCCGTTCAAAATGACTTCTTCTCTCAAACTGCAGTGGGGGCACTTTATTAATTTGTACTAATCTTAAAAAGCCAGTCTTGCACCATTTAAAAGGCATCTCACCATCTCAAGCTAAATCCAGTGCGGGAAGTAGGGCTGTAGTTAAGGCAACCTTTGTCGAGTCCAAGACAAGACCATGACTAGTCAAGGCCAAGTCAAGACCAGGTGCTTATGAAAGCCAGGCTGGGTCAATAACACAACAAAAGTCCCAACAAATCAAGTGATTATCTACTTCTAGTACAAATTACTGGAAAAAATTATAAAAGAAGGATTTTCTTTCCGCAAAGGAAAACCGTATGTACAAAAATAACTCGATGCAATTCAAACCATAATAAAATACCTCCTCTTCTACTTACAAACACACATGTAGTATGGTTTTAAAATTTATTTGCATTCAGTGCCCACTCTTAATAAATGCAACCAATGCCCACTCTCAGTTAATACAATTAGTGCCCAATCTCAATTAATCCAACCAGTGCCCATTTTGAATTTTCTGAATTAATGCAACTAATCCTCAGTCTCAATGAATTCAACCATGTCTGTATCATGAAATATCATGAAAATGTGATTAAGAACAACAACTTGTCTGTTTTTGCCTTGATGGCTAAATTAAGTCAATTAATTTACATCGCTCTTTGAATTAATCATTGTCAGTTTTGGCAATGATATTAAACTACATACACTGCAGATGTGTGCCTTTAAGTACATTTAGCAACAGTCAGTTAGCAAAACAGTAGACTAAACATCATGCAAGGCTGTCAGATTCAGTAAAGACACATTTATGTGGAACAGACCTTCTGTAGAACAAATGTTTAAACTAGCTTCCTCAGTAGTGAGGGCTGTTTTCTGGCTACACAAATTTGACTAGATATCTTTTTTGTATTTACTTTAGGCTTAGATTTAAGATTTAACAGAATAAATAACAGCACATAACCTAGGCTACTTGTTGAGGGATAATGAAATTGAAACACATTCATTTATCAAGTTAAAATATCACAAAATAGCAGAAATGAAGCAACCAATACTCACCGGTTGGTAGAACAAGTCGAGGAGGACCGCTTAAATTTGTGGCAGCAAAAAACAATTAACTTGAAGGGGCAAGGTTAAAGGTTATTTCTCACTGTGGATTGCCACATTAAATAGTTAAAAAGGGGTTTCACAAAGATTTCATTATGGAATGGTTTACAGTTCCATCAAATTACAGAACCATAGATCAGCTCTGTTTGCCTTTGAGATGAACTAAAGACACTAAAGCGCTGGTTAATTCTGGCCCAGTTTAACCCACTGGCTGAGACACAGATGCTGAAACTGAATTTTTATTGTTTTTGAAAAATATATGCCTATTTTCGAATTAGATGACCGCAACACATTTTTAAAAAGTTGGGACGGGTATGTTCACCACTGTGTTTCATCATTTCTTCTTCTAACAGCATTCTGTAGGCATTGGGAACTGAGAAGATCAATTGCTGTAGTTTTTAAAGTGAAATGTTTTTAAAGTGAAATTTTTGCTCGATATATGATTTCAGCTGCTGACAACGAGCTGACAACGAGCCTTTAGAGCTTCCTTACCTCGTGCAACGTGCAAGAACACACCCACATAAAACCCAAGCTTACTTAATGCTATGTAGCATGAGAAACCAGCACTCGAGTCGTCTTCTATTGGATGAATGGCAATTGGCAGGCTAACCTAGGGTGCGTTACCGCCTCCTACTGAGGGCTAGCTACACTTCTCGCGTATGCACATTTCAACAAAGCCGGCCAGCTAGCGAAAATGCCTCTGCAAAAACCCAGTTAACTTCTTGTAGTGACTGATACTATACTTTCTGTTCAAGCTCACACTATAATCCATGTATGAAATTATAGTGTGAAAAAGTAGTAGTGTGTGAGACAGTTTGATCATTGAAACATTGAAGAAAGATTGACAGAGTGATCATTAATTCATTTTATATGGCCATGACAAGCAGACACTGTTACCCAGAGCAACTCACAATGATAATTGAAATGTGACATTTCTGCCTGGATGGGGAGTCAGTCATCTAGCCTTTTGTTTGTGGCACAGTGATGTTATACATTGTCATCTATCCTGCAGTTCCAAAATGTTATCGTTTGTAATTAATGGCTATAATTCCAGTATCAAACTGGTTAATGTTAATTAAGTTTATTTTGTTTATTTCTGAATAATATTGGCTATTGATATATCATGCACCCTTAGTTGACACCATACAAAATGTGTACTATCACAGGAAGACATTGTTATTTTATTATGTCTTTGTAAATGCTTTGTGGTCTGGTGTAGGTGGTTGGCATATTGCCGCGGCCAGGAATCATAATTTGTCCTCTTTTTCCCTCAGGACATACTGTTTGACTCTGTGACTCACCTGGTAAAGAAGTTTGTTCTTCACACCAACTACCCTGGCCATTACAATTTCAACATGTGAGTGCCATTCAGCCTGATTTCTGCTGTGTTGTGGCGTACTGTTTAGGTGAGCAGATCTGCTTGGACTGATGATTATGGAGGTGAAAGGCTAATTTAGTAGCGGAGAGTGGATGTGTCAGAGGATTTGACTAATAATTGGTTTTCTGGATGTTTCTCTGGTAAAACAACATGTTTCAGTATCAGAAGACAACTGATACTACGCATGCATCAGTTAAACTTGTATGCTAGTTAATATTTTCTAAGGAACTTTGTGTGCGTTTTCTTAAAAGGTATCAAGTATTGGTAAATATTGTCTTGCTTTTCAAGTCTGCGCTTCATATAATTCACTCAAGTGTCATGAATTTAACTTTCAGTTTTGCTGATTAGAAATGCTAAGAGACACTGTATTGTATAAACCTTCAACTGCAATAAACTGCAAATAAATGAGCGCTACCTCCTCCTGATTCCAGATACCATCGATGTGATTTTAAGATTCCACTCGTCATTAAAAAAGGTGGGTGGAAGAAAACTCTGTTGTGCTCAGCTTTTTCTCTGAAGATATTTTTATGCATCCCCTAGTGCATTGACACTAATAGCTAGTAATGGGCATTTTGTACCAGATGCTCTGCCTAGACTATATTGAGCTCAGGAGCCTGGTTGTTTTTCAGATGGAGCTGATGCTCAGGGGGAAGACTGCATCCTCACCACTTACAGCAAGGTGACTGCACCTAGCTCAAACACATGCATGATTATGTGCTACTGAGTAGAATTCCACATATCAGAGTAGAAGAAGCATTGTGGTCTGTTTCTCAGAATGTGCTGAATGTATTTCTCCCCCACTCAGTGGGATCAGATCCAGGAGTTACTGGGACACCCCATGGAGAAGCCAGTGGTGCTTCATAGGTAAGTCGTATAGCTTGAGATTCAGTCAGACAGTATTCAAGGAGAATGCTTAAAAGGAAATAATTTCAGAAATAAGCATTCTTGATCCAGGATCCAAAATAAAGTAAATCTTAACTGTAATCTGTCATAGATATCATATGTGTAAAAAAACAAGTCTGAAATGTCTACAGCATCTTTCTGACAAACATTTTTTTTTTTTGTTTCCAACATCAGGATTGAGAATAAGGATGATTCTGAATTTTTGAAGTCACGAAAGTCTAAATTGCTCACATTATACATCATAACATTATACAAACGTTTTTGCAAGAGAGCCACGTACATGCTCTCAGACAGAATGTTAATTGTGGCAAGACTCATTTTAAAATTGATTTGCTATGAACTGCACACTGCAAACATTGATGTTAATTTTTCTACATAGAAATGTAGAACTGGGGACTCTCGCTGTAGTTTTATAAAGGTGTTACTAGCCTTAACAGTAAAGGCTGTAGCCTGCCACAGTTGTAGTTTGGCATGTCCAGTGAAAGACGTGTGCGTTAATTATTATTTCATCAAATAACATAATACAAATACAAATGAAGCGTTATTACTTTGCCGTTGTAAATGTAAATGGGAGGGGGTCTTGGTTTGTCGTATAATTGCCTGAAATGCTTTCAATTTATCATAAATGCTTAGATTTTGTGCTGTACGTCAACATAAAAAGAATCTGTGTAGACATTGGATTCTTGGGATTTGGAAATGTAGTTTTGATCCACTAGAATTAATGATCCACTCTTTTCAGGTCATCATCTGCAAATAACACCAACCCCTTTGGATCCACATTCTGTTTTGGGCTGCAGAGGATGATCTTTGAGGTGAGAGTGAATTGTCTGTAGTTTTGTTTCATGTAATGATTTTAGCAGCTGTAGTCTGATGCATGTTGAGGTAAGTGAGTAGTGGTGCTAATCGGTGGGGTATAAGCTTGTTAGATATATTAGCCTCATAGCTCCAGTGCTAAACTAATGAATCAAATTTTGTATACCAAACATGTCTTTGCTGATTGACTACATTTTGCAGTGATGACAGAACTGTGTGAATTAAAATTTTCACCACAGTATCACTTCAACCTATTAACACAGTACAGCTCATCAGGTGCTTACATGTATTCAGACACAAAATTTTGTGAATTAGATTTTTTATTTTTTCACCAGACTGTTCCTTTAACATCTCTCTCAGGTGATGCAGAACAACCACATAGCATCAGTGACCCTGTACGGAGCCCCTCGACCCGGAAACCTGCCCCGTGCCGAGTCCAGCGCCCACTGAGGTGCCTGCCCGTCCCGCCCCTTAGGGCCCATCAGCGCAGTGTGCCTTCCCTCACAGCTGCCATCACACGAGCTAGAGAACCACATGCTGGGAGTTCCCCCCGATACCCCTGAACAGCACCATGGATGCTCCTCTCTAGCAACCCACACAGCCTGGAAGTTGCCAGTATTTCGCTCATCCCGCATCCTCCCTCTAAGCCAGCAAACATCCTTCAGCTGCAGCTTCAACCCCAGCGTCTGTGTCAGTGTCACCATAGCACAGTGGATGCACAGTGATGCGTTTTTCATGCACGCCTATGCCCACACACATACGCACACATTATGGACATACATGTTCACTCTTACATTAATAAGCTCTAGTGAAATTTTCTTTTTTTCTATTTCTAAATTTCATCCCACACAAGACACTGACACCAAAGGGCATACGTGACATGCATTTCGATACCATTTCCTCTTCTGCACATTAAACACTTTATACACTCACACATTCAGTCAAGTTCATTTCAGAGCAGCAGTGGCCGGCACATGCAGAGGGTGCCCTCGGAAAACACAGAGGTGCATGAACATTAGGATTCATTGCATGAATAAAGTATTGCTTTATGGATTTTGGAGATTTGGAGTGTGTGGCATACAGAGACGTACAGATTTACAAGCACAAACGAGCTGAACAGTATGGGAGTGTACTGGTGGATTCAGTGCTCTGAACGTGGTTTCTTGCATTCACACAGACTTACTTAGGCACACAGACACAGGTTCAGTATGCTCATGCTGTGACCAAGTCAACAGCACTGGTTACCTCCCATTGCAATGTCCTGCAGTGCAAAGTTCAGCTTTTAAAGTTAAATGTTAATTTTGGCCATCGTTTTTTGTTTTGCAAGGTAAGGTGATAGCATTATTATAATTCTTTTGTTTGTTTTTAACATTTGCACTAAAGAAAAATACACTTAATTTACTTGACAATTGTCTTCTATCCACTGAAGACTGTTGGGATTACTGAGCGTGAGAGGCAGAGTTGAGAGTAGAGGAATGAAAGGAAACGTATCTTGTGGATTTTGGGGCTCTTATGGCAGATCTTCTGACTGGACAGAAAAGCCTTTGATCCTTCACTTTCCACCACCCTCTGGATCTCCAGCTGTTCTTTCTGCTCGTTTACTTGCGTCACTCCCTTCTCGCACCATCTTGGTGTTCTCGGCTGAGGATTTGATCTCATAACCTTCTCTATCAACTCTTGATCCCTACTTTTGGATTTTTTTCCTGATTGCCAAAACATTAGCCAAAGAAATAACGACAGTTAGGTGTCCATTTGAAAAATTTCTCATCAGACTTGATCAAGAACATTCCCTTTTGATTTGTTTCCGTTACTCCCCAAAAGGATTTTGTTTTTTCTTTATTGTGCTCTTGTGCTTCTTAACTGCATTTTAAAAGTGGATATCCCACTCTGTGCTTTTTGATTCAGAGCTTTTATCTCCTGGTTTCTGTTCTTCAAAGATGTCTAGTGTTGTTTCTGTACCAGGTAGACGTGAGGCTTCCCCCAGCGTTCTGCTGCTCTATCCGTGTATGTACAGACCTGTAAATAGCGTGCTTTTCTGTCTTGTCCGTTTAAGCTCACGGTACCATATGGGTTCAGATTGAGTTGAAGTCTGGAATTCTCTTGTATTGTTAAGTATGCTATATATTGTCATTGCTAACCGAGAGAGTTCTGAGTGTTCACACCTACGTGGTCCTATAAGGACAGCAGCTATCCGCTCTGACCATGGAGGGGGTAGGCAGTGTGAGACCACTTGTGGAGACAGTCTGAACATGTGACGGTGGAGATGACTCAAGTGTTTACAGTACAAGTCGGAGGTTCTAAGTGAGTTCCTCTAAAAGCTCATTTTTAGCACTGCTGTGCGACCCTTCAGAAACATGAAGTGTGGTGATTTCAGCCTCCGCTGATACTGACCGCTACATCACTCCACTGCCAGCTCTCTCTTTAGCTCCCCTCCAGGCTTCTGCAGTATGTGACGCAGGCTTATTTGGGCATTGTTAGTTCTCGTTTGCATTTACTTGGTTAATGAGTTGCAATGGAAGGCTGCTGTTGATGTTTTTCGATTTTTATCCCTCTCTTACGCCAAGTTCCAAACCAAGTAAAATTAAAACTGATAAAACTGAAGCGAAACAGCTGTTAACATTGTGCCTCATCTCCCACCGAGCCTGTCTTGATTTTCTCTGTAAATGAAATCGTTTGAACTGCTTTGTGTGTGGTTGAGCATGTATAGCTAAACTAATGGACTGTCAGTTGTAGTCAGTCACAGTCCTCACAGTCCCAAAAATAATGAGGAAGTATGAGGATAAAAAAACAGTCTCATAGTCTCCGAACTCTTTTCTTGAAGGGCTGGTGCAGCATATGTTGTAAATTAGATTACTTATTAAACTGAACTACGAGAGTAAAACCAGTGTTTCCTGTTAGCCGTTAAGGTCCTGGTGGTGGTCTGTGCATGTTTTTGTATTTGTTCCACCACATAACTCTCTGTAGATTTAAAGGTTCATTCAGCCTGACAGCCCTCCATGATTTGAAGTTCACACTAGTGGTTGTGATGTTTCTACAAAACAAAACTTGCACTTTCATAAAAAAAATCTATTTGAAATTTCTATAAATAGCTTTTGCATTCATAAAAGTATGTTGGTTTGGCAACACATACATGGTTAAACCCTGCCTGTGTCTTCAGATTTATTCTTTCGGTTCTGAAAGAGGGCCTACGTGCACAACTGGAGTCTCACGTTTATAAGTTTGTCCTCCAGGAATTTATGAACAGAAGCAGCACAACCACTGCAGTAGTACAGTTTAGGGAATGTTACTGTTAGCAGAGAGTGGTTTGATGGGCTGATTGCCTGCCCGATCTCAGGTGGATCTTTTTTAAAATGCCAGGAGCAAGTGAATGCTTAATTTTCATCATCTAAGTTCTGGCTTGTTTTGTTTCTTCTTCAGACTTTATCCTATTTTTGCATCGGAATGACTGAATGAATGATTGAATGATTGTTTTTAAGATTGTATTTAGAGAAATGGACAACTTCCATTCAGTGTAATGCGCATATTAATGCTATGTATTGTATCCCTTATTATATATTGTATGTTTTTTTCCCCCGTCTATCCTCCAAAATGATTATTTTTTGTGGATTTAGTATATTTGACCCATTTCTGGAAATGGGATCCTTAATTAAAAATTGTGAATCCAGATTAACTGCAACGTGGTGTTTTGTATCTCTGATATTTTGTCATCAAAGAACATGTAGTTAGAAAATCAGTATTTATCAGGCATATATTCTGTTGTTTTTTTTAATTATTTGTTTTTGTTTTTAAAGCAATAACTATAGCTGTGGCAAATAATACTTTGAAAGGGTCAGCTATAAGCTTGCACAAGGCCTCTGAACCCATGCAAAAATGCTGTGACTATTTAGTTTTTTCTCGTCTAGTCTACTGAAACCACAACATTTGCAATTTTATAAACTGCATTGAATTTTGTTCATTAAACGTTCTGTTACAGTGTGTTCAACAAGAGTAATATTTGAAGACTGGATGTAATAAATATGGGGGAAACGATGCCGCTTTCCTTTTCCTTCTTTTCAAGACAAATTATTTCATACATGCTTCCTCCACCTTCAGACATCAATAGACTTGACCTACAGCAGAATGTCAGAAGAAAAAGGAAATACTATTTTACAATACAAAAAAAAACAGCAGATGTTTCAAAACAAGGGTAATAAATCAAAACAAACAGATTTGAAAGCCTGTAGCCATACAAATCTAAAATATTCATACTAACAGTGCTGCTCAGTGGTATAATTCACTTCTGAGAATTTTCAGTATCCAATATTTCATTAGTGCTCATATTCAACCAGTGGTCTTTCATAAAGCAAAATGGGCTCACTTCCCATGGGCTTTACTGTCCTTGCAGAATGTGACAGATGTCGTCCTTGGCCTCTGTGGTTCATTTTTAGAATGTTCAGCAGTATCCGCAGTAGCCAAGAATGATACTTTGACACCAAAATCTTTTTCAAATACAGCAAACGATACGTTTCTGACAATAATTCTGAAACGGTAGTTCTTTCAAAACAATTAAAACTCTCAGGTCTTATTGTGTACAAATCTAACAAAACATTCTCCACTTAAATGTACCATACGGTCTATGCCAGCATAAATCTTTTCAAACCTCCTCCATTTTAAATTTCACAGTATCAGCAGTTCAGGCCTAGCTTTTCAGTCAGTGCTTTACAAACACTCGCATTTCATAGTCATTATCCTCATTCGACTCTGTTTTAGCTACTGTAGAAATCTTATTTTTCCATTTAAAGGGTAGAGCTGTGGGGCCCTGATGGGAGTGACAGCGTACACTAGGATCATGTAAGAGGTTCCACATGAGCCAGATCTGCGGCACGGTTAGGCTGTGCACCACCATCAGTTCCCTGTAGAAACATGGGTCGAACACCTGTAGGTGGGGTGCTGCCGACGGTCGCACGATACCAAAGGTACGGAAGCCCTCATGGCGGGTCGGTTGAAGACCAATCCTGAGCAGACACATTCCCAGGAAGACGTCATCTATAGGAAAGAGTTCCACTTCCTTGCAGGCCATGTGCAGCCTTAGGGCAGTGTGCCCGGACATTACAAAGCCTCCACCACCCGCGTAAGATGGGTAAACTCCTTGGCCATATATAAATTCAGGCACAAAGTATTTACTGTTGCGCCTGCGGATGGGCTTTGCGTGCAAGATGATATCTCCAACAAAAAGGTCCTGATCGATCTGCCTGCCATCAAGCATCTCCAGAATGTTCTCGATGTTCACATAGACATCTGCATCACCCTTGAAAATGAACTTGACTTTGGAGCAGCTCATGTTGATCCACTGGAGAAAGTGAGTTTCTTTGAGTGTCAGGTTGAAAAATGTGTCTTCAAAGTCCCAAAGCAAAATGTCCCTGAACGTGCGGCTCTCATACTCCAGCAGCCTGTCCCAAAGTGGAAGAGCTGTAACATTTTGGGGCACCCCAAGAAGAAAAACGGTCTTGATGTTCACTCCTTTCTGGACCACTCCTTCTCTCCCCCAAGTATGCCGCACTACCTGCCGCTTGTCGAAGTCCGCAGCTACTGATTTTATGGCAATCAGCAGATAGGGTGCACCTTCAGGCCCTGAACACTTCTCTGGTTGGTCAATTAGCATCCTGAACTCACGCTGGTCTTTCTTGCGAAGGTAATCCTCAAAGTCAAACTGAGGCAGAGTGGGCACAATATTGGCTTTCGGCGTAGTGGCTTTCCTCTTCTTATCCTTTTGCTTTAACTTCATCTGACCTTTAGGTTTACTCTGGGACTTGGGTTTTGCTTGTGCCTGCAACTTAGGCTCAGGATTGCACTGGGGCAAATTAGGTGGCTTAGAGGGAAGCGACATTCCTTTTAAAGGGGTTCCTAAGAGGGCTCTGGAGCTGGTAGAGACATGCTCGATACGTACTGTCTCCCAGATGGGCGTTAAAGCCTGGTGGGCGTACAGCAGTATGCAGAAAAGCACCAACAGGATCAGGGTGCAGAGCACGTCTCCCTTTATGCGGACTCTCCTCATTCTGTCAAACAAGTCTCTCCGTTATAAAGCTCAGTAACCAGAGAGGTTGTAATCTTATCATGATGTCAGGATTTCTTCATTGCTAGTGATTCCTACCCAGCCAGACTCCATTTGGAGCAGTGTTTATCCCTTCTTTGAGTGTGATCTTGATTGCTTCCAGCTGGGAACACTTTCCTCTCAACACTATAAGTGCTCAATGAGATAACAGTCTTAATGCTGTGTAACACAGTGCTCAGCTCCAACCGTTCCTCCCAAAAACAGGAGTGTCTGTGCTAAGATGTTTCCATTTATCAAGAGATTTTATCCTGTCCTATGCGCACCTAGAAAAACAGAGTATTGCATTAGGTACACGGCATTAGAAAACAGTGTCAGTGAATACTGTATATACTGTATTTACAATATAGTATACAATGTATTTGTGATGTTTTCAGAAAGAAAGACATTTCTTTGATTATTACTGGTTACAGTTACAGATATCATATCATAATTTTCATATCAGTCATGAATTTCCAGTTGACCAAAACGTTACCATTTCCATTAAAAAAATATACGTTAAGGAGTTTTAACTCTATGAGTAGGCATCAAAAGCTTGTCAAGCTCATATATGACTATGACAACAGAACATGTTCATACAGACCACAACACTCTTTGACTAGTAACAATAGTGGAACCACTTTTGGTGCAACATATAGAAATATAAAGAACCATATACAGCAGTTTTCCATTATAGAGGAGAACCACTGAAACATGAGAAGAAGCATTAAACATTCAAATAGTTCTTTGAGTTGTCATGGTTCTATATGTAACCACTGTCTTTATTAAAGAACCTTTTTTAGATGTGTAGTTACTTGTGACAGTCAATATTCCTACATCTACATCCTTAAAAATGGATCAAGTGTTCTTTAGCAAAAGCAATGGTTCTATTTAGAACTTTACCAAGTTAAAATGCTTTTAAAAAGATGATTCTTCACAGGTTCTTTAGCAAAGGGAGTGGCACTGTTTGAAACTACGAGTTCTATATAGAAGCATTTCATGCTTAAATGGTTCTCCAGATTGATGGAGAATTTGTTGTATATGATTCTATTTTTGAAAATGGTTCTATATAACACCAAAAAGGGTTCTGTCACAAGCTTGACTCTGGAACAACAGCAGAACCCCTTTTGTTGCTTTATAGAACCACATACAACACATTGCCCATCAATCTGAAGAGCCTTTTCACCATGTAAAGCACCATTTAAGCATGACATGGTTCTATATAGAACTCATACTTCTCTTTCTTATAGAACCCTTTGAAGAACCATCTTTTTAAAGAGTGTATGATGGAAAGCCTGTTGTGTATCTTTATAGCACCATTTTTGCTAGGAGTGTATGGTGTTTCACAATATTGTAAATGGTTTAACTTCGTTTCAACATGCTGGAATGGCTTCCCAGACACTATTCTGATGCATCTCACATCTCAGGAAACGCAGGATTACTTTCCCAAAGTTATGCTTCAGAAACTGCTAGTGGTCTGCAGAGTGGTCGAATCTGTACTCTAAACGAGCTAAGAAGCACTTTAGCCATTGAATGCCTCACCATTTCGAGTCTTTTCTTGGAAACAAGAAAGTACTGGGGGGCGTGTCGCACTTTGAGGAAGAACACACGATTACTTAAAAGTTTTTCGAAGAAAATCCATGCTGTTCCATTATGAGCGCGTATATGTACTGCATATTTGCTTTCCAGAGCATTTCTAGGGATAAGAGTTTGTGAGTAAGCAATGCTGAGCAGCACTTTCCTTCAGGCTCCTCAGCCAGATGTTAAATTTCCTGCTCGAGTCTTCAGCCAGAGGCGCTCAGGCATCCCGTGAAGCTAAAAGTTGTCCAAACGCTTTTACCTCTGATTGCGGACGATTTCAGCTTTTCCTGCACCGTAGTGCTAAGATAGTGCGCCACTTTTAATACTTTCGAGGTGTTTGCTAACAGCACAGAGGCTACCGCATCTTCGACACTTACCAAGAAGTGGTGAATCTCACGAAAGCTGCTCCAGTTCAACACTGCCAGATCCCACCATCTGGTTTCGGCGTTTAAAGCTGAAAAGCTGCGCGTTCACGTCCAGGAAAAAACTCCCAACTCGCCAAGATCAGCGCTGGAGCGACTCTCACTCAGAGAAAAGCGAGCACATTTTTTTAAACGACGGCAACGCTTTTAAGAGGCTGTGTAGGTCACGTGACCCAGATGCCAGCACAGCAACCTCAGGGCGAGACGCGGCCTGGATGGAGAGATCCAAAAAAATTGGGCTGGCATCTGAGTCAACCACTGTTCAGCACTACACAACAGCATTACTGCAGTGCTGGAAGAAGTATCTGACCAAAGCAAAGAGATTTTTCCAATAATTTAATCAAATTCAGCATCTCCCAAACACACACATTCAATATCAATCAAGTGCCTATACACAACTATAAAAAGTAAATATCTTCATACAGTGTATGTCCAAAAGTATCCAGACACTCTTCTAATGAGTGCACTCCTAGGAGTGTGCTCCTTTAAAGTGATATCATCTGCACAGAAAAGCAGTAGCAAAAGAAAGGTAATCATGCCCAATGTCAAGAATCAGAGAGAGGGGCATAAAGCCTCCCCAGCTTTGGGCTGTGGAGAAGTAGAACGGTGTTCTCTGGAGAGATGGAGCACCATTCACTACCTTTGGGATGAGATGGAGAGGCATTTATGATCCATAACTAATTATCCATCATTACATCAGTACCTCACTAATGCTCTGGTCTCTCAAAGCAATCAAATCCTCATAGCAATGTTCCAACATCTAATGTAAAGCCTTCCCAGAAAAGTAAACGAGGACAAAGACTGTAAAAAATGAAAAATCTTTTTAAGTGAAGTTATCTTAAAGCCAGTCAACGTATCTAATATTTCTCATTTTGAGACTGTTGTAAGAATATTATAAGATTAACTTATATCTTATGACATTTTAAAGGTGCAGTGTGTAAGATGTAGGATCTATTAGCAGAATACAGGAATACAGTATACAAAACCATGTTTTCATTAGTGTGTCACCTGTAACTACGAATCATTGTTTTCATTAGCTTAGAATGGGCCCTTCATATCTATATAGGGAGCAGGTCCTCTCCCAACAGAGGCCGCCATGTTTTTAAAATAGCCCAGAACGGAAATCCAAACACTGGCTCTAGAGAGCGCCTTTCATGTTTTTACATTGTAGCAACAGCTTGAATGTGATGGCACTGGTTAGAAGATGTAGAAAGAAGAATTGGTGGCTGCAGCCAGTGCTGGCCAACTATTCTGTGTTGTGAGAAGTTTGAGAACCCAAATTTTGACAAATTGAGGATCATACGAAAAATCAAGTGAGTGTGGAAAGGGAGGGGTGAGGGAGGGGTATTGAGTTGGTTGTAATCTGCAAACTCACCACTAGATGCCACTAAGGTTACACACTGCACCTTTAAGTAATTTTATCTAGTGAAACTGTCTTATTCTACTAGCAGATAATGTTGCTTGTTTCAAGCATTATTTCTTGAAGCAAGCACAATTATCAGTATTACACCTTAAACCAAGCAAAATTATCTGAGGGCTTTAGATAAAATAAGACATTTTATCTGGATAAAATTACTTAAAGCAAGTAAAAAAAATCTATAAACAAGTTTATTAATCTTATAAAACTATAATACACAACAATCTCATGAGAAATTTATTAAGACCCTTGATTTTAGAGGAAACATTGGATGAGCAGGTGTCTAAACTTTTGGACATATAGTGTACAATCCACTGTTCCCTGAACACACGAAGGACAGCCTCATCAGCTGCCGCTTCTACAGTATCCAGTTACTCCTCTACGTACAACTGCTGCCGTAATAAGGCCCGGGTTAGATATTCTCTCCTGCAGGCTTTTCCATTACTCAGTAAGAGCAGATTACTGGACTCTTTCTCCACACAGTGTTTTGTTTCAGCCTCCCCTCCAGGAGACTTGGACTGATCTCCCTAGAGCCAGAGCTCCTGTCCTGTAGGTAGTGCAGGGGACCACGAGAGGGCTTCTTCAGGAGGAAGCAGTCCCTGCTCTCATGATCTTGAAGAGAGCGTTTATGTTGTTATTCTTGATGGCGTCTCTGCAGGCAGTGATGACCTGGTTTTTTGGTTTCCCCACTGTGAGTGAGAGAAAAAGAAGAAAAAATGAGGGGCTGGCTATATTTGGATGCTTTCAGTGCAAGTATTTTCCATTACATAGTCACAAATAATTTCTTCAATTTATGTCTGTATTTACAGAACTCAGAAAAAGAAAAAAGCTCTAGCATGAACTTCTTGATCCCTCTACCTACCTCTGAGCCTGCCTGCCCGCTGAATGGCCTGGTTCACAGCCTTGAGGCAGGCCAGAAGAGCATTGTGATTGTTGGAACGGATTTTGTATTCGTTGATCAGATCTCGGTTGAGGTCATACAGCTCAATGTAACGCTTCTTCATGGTCTTCCTGTGAGAGAAGCAGGGAAAAATGTTATATATATGTAAGTAAGAATGTAAGAGTGAGAGAAAGACAAAGAAACGAGAGAAAATATAATTACATTATTATGTGGGTGGATAAGCGATCAGGATAGAGCAGAGACACTTACAAGTCTCCCATGAGTCTGGCATCCTCCGCCTGCACCAGCATGTTTCTAATGTGGTTGGAGTGATCTGCCATGGCTGCTGTTAATTTCTGATGCACTGAGTGGAACTCATCCACCTAATATCACAGTATTCAACATTAAAATGAAAACACAATACGACTTGCTTGTCTTTCACAACAATTTTCACACATAACACAGCAAGGTTATAAAAAGAACAAAGAGTGGCTTGCCTTAACTGGGATTTGTAGCAAGCCACTCTGTTTACTAAAAGTGATTTGACATGATTGTGCCTTCTTTTAGTCAAATACATGGAAAACATGTTATACACTTTTTTATGGTCCCATAATGACTAAAGTATCAGTGAAAGATGTTTCTGAAACATAACATTAAGTGAAATTAATTATGTTAAGTGATTTTTTTAATATATTTGATTGCAGTTTGTTCTGTTTCTTTTAGGACTGAGAAAATGTCACTTTTGTGCACTGATATATGTGCATATGTATGCTTGTTTATGTATTTTGCTAGACATGCATTTTATGATAGTTTTAATATTGTATTTTTTAATGTAAGTTATTTTAGGGTGCCTTACATGTGACAAGGGACAACTTATAAAAATGAGTCTCTAGCTCTAGCTCATTTGCAGTTCTTTTTTTTTGTTAATGGGCACTGTACCAGACAAATGATAAAAAAGTAAGTTGGATCATTTTAGATGCTGTTTAATGAGAAATCGAGGAAAGAATGTCAAATATCCAGTGAAGGTCCAATATAAAACCAACTTAACTGTGCTATCCATAAAGCAAAATGATACTATTTTCTGGCTAAATATTTGATTTATTATTACAAGCTTCTTTGCTTTCCTTGTGTCATCATGAATAACATTACAGCTGTGATAATCTACAGCGACCGAATCATATCCATGTTATTCATGATAGCAGACTCCCTCTGGTGTTCTGTTGTTTAATTAGGCCACAGTAAAGCAAACTTGCCATTGTCTCAGGTTTCCAAGGAAAATTCTAAGCAAATTTTGGCAAGCTGTTTAAATCAATTGTCTTTTCCCAAAAAGGTTGTAAAGTTAAAAATATAGTACTTCATAGTTTCCCACATCAATACCAGAATTCCAATATATAATACTATAATAATGGATGTAACTCTAGAGAAAGAGTAATATTCTTTACTATCACTGACCTCTGTAAGAGTGACTCGAAGCTCCTCAAAGTAGGTGGGGAAATCTGCTTCTGCCTGTAAATCCTCAATGGCTAGGAAAGAAGCCAGCGATTGGACCAGATCTCCTGCCAGATCAATGTCATCTGTAGACAGTGTTATCTAAGAAGGAATAAAAGGTCAGTTTGAAGGATGTGCCATTAAAGTTCATCTTTTTTGTACTCACAGTAATACAAACATGCTCATTTGCATTTAATGAAGGTGATGATGCAAGGTGTCACATTTGGTAAAGGTTTCTATCCTGTTTGGACAGACACACACAAAATAGGGAGGTATACATAAAGACAGTATACCTCCCCACTGGAGCGCATGCTGATGGTCAGGAGTCCTCCTCCACGCAGTGAAGTGAACGTCACATCTGGGCTGTTGATGCCTTCTGGTAGCAGAAAGTTCTGGTTCAGCCACATGACTACCTGCACATGGACAAACTGCTTTAGCAACAGCAAAAGAGAGCAGCTTGAATGCAGATATGGTAATGGAGCAACTTCTAACAGAAACTTCAGTTTCTCACAAACTCTAAAAGAGTTTAAAAAATAAGACACTAAAAAATAAAAAATAAGACCCTTAAAAATGTATTAATTTGTAAAGAAGTTAATAGAAGTCACCTTTTATACAGTAAAAACAAATTCAAAACCAACTATCTTGTAAGCATTTTGGGAACACCCCAACAAGATTTTCATATCAGGTGAAAGGCTTAATTTGTGTTTGTATATATATATATATATATATATATATATATATATATATATATATATATATATATATATATATATATATATATATATATATATACACACATACATACATACACACACACACATACACGTGCCTTACCCTTTGTGGCCTATCGTTGATACTGAATGTGACTCTTCCTGTGGGTCGTGGAGCTGAGGGGTCAACATGAAGGTCATACATGGAGAAGCGAGGCAGCTGACGAGTTATCTCAAACACATGGAACTGTGTACTGACAGAAGGAAAGAGAAGAAAATTGTTGCAGTCAGTACTCCTCATACAAATCCAATACTTCTACCATTCCTTATCATATACTAATCTTTAAAGGAAATTCCACCTTTTTTCTGCCAAATTAAATTGTTTCACTATAAACAAAGTACTAAAATGATTCAGAATCATTTGATGTGAAATGATCCATTCTAGAGAAACTTAAGAATTGTTCACAATGGTGTCTCTGAAAGCTATCTCACAAAAAGCGATAACATGAAATAGTTATAAATATGCCTGATGACTGAGACATTGTTTTACGATGGTTTGAGGATAAGAGTTTGGCCAACAATATTTTAAAAAGTCCTTTCAGAAGGCCTGTGTAGGAAATTAAATTGCTATATTTGTGTTCTAGACATCACAACCCTTCTACTGGGTTATATCATTTTTGCACAAGTTAGTACTTGCATTTGAATGTAAACAGTAAAAAGTCCTTAGTTGAAACTCATCATATTTTTTCATGGATGATTTTCTAACTAATGCATACATTACTTCAACTTCATCAACTTGCGATGGCAGCTTGTGCCTCAGAAAAAATGACCAGCATAGAAGAAAACGACATGAACTCTAAATAAAACACTAAATAAAACTGAACACCTGTAGCCATTGTTTGTTTATTCTCCATTATTTCCTTACGACAGCTAACTGTGCAAATTTTTAAATGACAGTTTCTGACTAACTGACACAACAGCAGCATCAGTTTAGACTTTTCAGCAGCTTTTGTGTCTCACTGAATTGGAGCTGTGGATTTTAACTTCATGTTAGGAGTTAAAATGAGAGTGATGATCAGAGCTGTAAGCAAAATCACTGGAAACAGCATTCAGTACTTTTAGCTTAGTTAACCCAAAAGTAAATAAATCTAATACAGTCAATGCACCATTTCACAGCAAACATAGTTTACATAGTAACAACTGAATTATGTGGACATTTTGAAAAATCTGTAGAATACCCTGGAATACATTCAACTCCCCACTCAGAAGGGACAGCAGGGACTGGTGAGCAAAAGAGGTAACTGAAAACTGTGAACTTGCGTGTTGAACATCATAAGCAAGCTTGCACACATATACTTTTTCACATACAAAGTAGCCTCCACAGCACATTTTTTAAAAAACTTTGAGCTATAGCTGTTTATTCATAATAGTAATTGTTCAGTAAGACCTCAAACAGGCACCTTTAGTCATTTACTATGTCTTTTCCACGTGATTTTACCCATTAGCCTCCAGACATTGACACAAATGAAACAGAGTCATTACTTAGCAATCACTATCAACAGATAAAAACATACCTGGTCCTCCCACCAACAAAGGCCTTGATGTGCAGATCCACAGGAATGTCTTTAGGAGGAATTATGGGAACACAGATGCAGCCAGACAGGTTCTGAGCATTGGGGTGCACCACATGACTTTCCCCTTCAAAAATCCCCTCAGCAAATATCAGCACAGCTCTAATGATGGTCTCTGAGTGAGGACAGAATGAAGTGATAAAAACGTGCAAAAACATCAGGCACTGGGAGAATTAAGTTAAAATGAATTAAGAATAAATGAATGCATCTTTTGTCTTTGGTACTTTTAAGAGGTATTTTAAGGGCGTGGCTTTTGTGGCCAGAAAAAGTCCTGAATTGGAGAAACACTGCAGCACTACTCATTCAGTGGCCGCATTCAGAAACCCTGAAAGTTACTGATTTTTCCTACCAATCCACTCCTCACCCCCGTGAACCAGAAACCGATTTTGTGACATCATCTTTGCGGTTGTCCAAAAACCAGAGGAGACTAGAACAGCCACTTAAAATACCCACTGAAGCGGCTTTAAGCAGGGGATACACTAGTGTATGCTACCAAAGAAGTCTTTTCCAGATTTTAGAGTGACATCACTGCAGACACACCCAAAGAGGACGGACAAACAGTAATCCTGCTGTACTTTTCAATTCTGTGTTTTATTTGTGTTTATATATTCTTTGTGTTGTGTATTTTGTACTTGGTGTAATATAAAATAAAAAAGATTCAGAGTACAAAATCACACAAATGTGAATTGGCTGGCTCTGTGTAGCTGTACTGGGGCGTGCTTTCTAGCAAACGTTGTGATATGCTCATTTCATCAGTAGTCAACATCTATTTAACAATGTTTAAAGCTCTTTTCCTCTCCTTGATTCCTCTGCGTTCTTCCAGGGTGGAAGAGGAACAGTAGGAAGGAAGTGGGAAGACAGGAGCAGTAGCAAAGGACGCAGCCAGAGATGCAGCTGCAGGGTTGGTTGCAGTGGTTGATGTGTGTGTTAAGTGACAGGCCATCGTACCATTTGGTGTAGAGATGCTGAGCTCTATGTGGGCTCTCTGGCTCTCAGTAGCTGCTCGCACAGACAGGGCCGTTTGCAGCTGAGTGTTAGCGGGGATTATGCCCATCTGATTCTCCCCTTCAGAGGCACCAGGGACAGCCTGCAATGGTCATCCACGGTCAATCACAAACATTTAACATCTCAAAATCTGCACCAACAGATCACCTGTGCGATAACATGCACATACATATATACTGTGCAAGTCAGAGACTACCCTTCATTAAATTATTAATTTCCAGTGAAAATGGCCATTATGTACAAGTTATGCATTTTACAGCATCAGGAAAAAAGCAGAAAACAAATATTTAACATAAAATTACACAGAAGCTTCAATGACTAAATATAACATCAGATTTTTCAGTATTTAGTATGTCCATCTATTCAACTTAATATAGTTTCCATTCTTTTTGGGGGATTTGTTTTGCAAACTCAGTGTTCAGTCTTCTTACAGAAGGACAGGAGCAGTACAGAAACACCTGTGGGTTTTTTGAGATCTGAAGCAAGAGTGGAGCTTGATTTTCTCCTCTCTCTCAAAGATGAAAGCCTTAAGTGCTGTTTATCTAATGGTGACAGTTTTAGTGGTCTACCAGGTCTTGCACAATTGTTTGGAGTCCAATTTTCTATACATCTTTGAATCATTTTTTGAATTCCAGTTTTGGAAACTCCTGTTTTTTCCACCTATTTTCCTTTAACTTTACGCTTTACGCACTTATGCAAGTGAATTATATCTTCTGAGAAAAATCTTCTGAAAAATGAATAATGAAAAATGAATAGCCATTTTGACAGGAAATTAAGTAAATAAAGGGTGGCCACATATCATCGTTGTTAAAAAAAAAAAATGATGTCTCCAAAAAAATAACTTGACAGGAAAAGGAAAAAAGTCTTAACTTACATTCTTAATTTACATGTTAATTTAATGAGATTTCATTCCAAGTCATTTTGGACAATTTCTAATCCATTCTAGTCCATTCATCAATAAATTTTGACACACTAATCAGCAGGTGTTTTTGAACGTTTAAACATTTCAAATGATAAAATATAAAAAGAAAGAAAAGTGTTTTTTTCTGAAAGCGCCAATATGTCAAACAACAAATTAGTCAAATTAATTTTGAACCATTTCTACTTCATTCATCATGAAATATTCACGTGGTATAAAAACAAAAAACTGGAAAAATGGAGTTGCAAGGAGTTTATATGACAGCAAGGATAAACTGTAAGTTTCACAAATATTTGGACACTAACAGTTGTTATTTTAGCTGTCTACTAAAGCATACTGGGGGTTATGTATGAAAATAGGTGCGATTTGGATGTGAACTCCCTCAAAGCTAAAGGTCTGTACTTTGTGCTCATAGTCATATTTAACTCCAATATGCTGAGTTACACAGCTAAAATAATAATAACTCAATGTCCAAATATTTATGGACCTGACTGTATGTGTACATGTATATATGGACCTTAGCATTTTCCTCATAGTTGCGTAGCTCCAATAGCAAATTTTGTTTGCGCTGGCTCAGCTCCCTAATAAGGTCTTGTTCAACACTTGCGTCCATTAGGTTCCCCTTCATCTCCTTACTGGCTGGCAAATAGCCACGTACTGAGAGACAACACACCATCAAACAAAAAGAAAATAATAAAAACCATGTTAAAAACAGCTGCATCCAAACTAATCACCACAAGTATTACTACATAAACCCGGTGAATGAATATTCAGCAGTATGAATTAAGGACAATTATTAATAGGGTCAGAAATCACTACAGGCCCCACAATTAAATATTACATCAAAACAAGTCTATTATATGAATGCGGCGACAGATGGTGTTTACTGACACTTGCTTCTCAAATTATTCCCGAGTACATGTGGTGATATGCAATGATAAGGTCACTGGTAATTTTTTTTTTACATTTCACAATAGTCTTACATTGCCCAATGTTCTAAAGTGTCCCAGTGTTTTTGAAATGTGTTGCAGGCATCATTTTCAGAATTAACATTTGTTTGTAAAAAACAATGTATTTGAAAAAAGCAGAACATTACATTTATTGTCTCTGTACTGTTTCAATACACGACAAAGCAGATTTATAAAAACAACTGTTTTCTGTTTTATTTGCATATTTCATACCATCACAACTTTTTTTTGAAATTGGGTTTATATTTAAGAAACACCCTTGTCCACAGCACTTTAAAATGGGAGGTGAATGTAATGTTAATGTTACTGACTCTTACTGGTATATTATAATGGTGTTTCTGATTTCTGTCTGAACAGTGAATCAAACTACTGCACCATCTGACTGTTCCTAACAATAACTCCTCCTTAGCCGTCCCATTAAAAAGTGGCACAATCTTGTAGAGTAAGAAAGAATATATATTTTGGTAAACTATTAGTCTAACAATGGACTTAACATGTAAAAATATAAATAGGTAAATTGTAAGATACTGATACTTGGGCGTCTGTGCATCAATTCTAAATTCAATCCTTTTAAAAAAATCTAAATTGTAGTGATTTACTGTATTGATTTTTTTTCTCCCACCCATAGTCCTTAATGTCAGTCAACCCTTACAGTCATAGACTCATTTACTCTCAACAGCATGTTTTCCATCACATAATGTTAAAATACTGAACCTGTACCTTCATCCTGCTTTCTACAGAACTTCGCTAAGCCATTTCACACAGAGGACCTTTTATCTAGAACCGTCTGCCACTGAACCTGAGAACCTGTAACAGTCTAAATTCCTTCAAAAGACTAAAGTCCACTTCCTGTCTAAACAATCTGTATTTTAATGCCATTCTAATTAACCCCAGCCCAACCAACTTTCTTTGTATCCCTCTCTCATCCTCTTTTTTCTGTAATGTTTGACATTTCTTTCTTTCTTTCTTTCTGTTTAAGCACAAAACATATCTAAATGTAAGTTAATTCAATTGGGAAAGTACCTAGTATGAGTCCTTTTGGTCCTTTCTGTTTACTGTCTTTTTTTATCCTAATACTTTCTATGTTTGGTCTGTTGTGCAAAAAAAAATAAAATAATGCTTTCTACTAGTCATGTTATATCACCTTCCCCTTCTACTGATGTGCAGATAAGCTGGATCTGACCATCCATGCGATAGTCTCCCTCCACCACCCCAGCCACAGACGAGGAGAAGTTATCCTTAAAGATCACCTCACCAGTACGGTCACTGCGAGCATCAATCTAGACAGTGAAAAGAAATGAGTTCACAGCAACTGCAGAGAGTGACTCTAAGTAAATAAGTCATATTGTGACGGCCTCACCTTCCCATTGGACCAGCCAGTTATGAGCTCCACAACTCCATCAGCATTCAGGTCAAAGGCATGAATACTCATTGCATGATTTTTTGACTGTGAGGAAAGGCAAATCTGAATTACATTTTCCTTTGAGTATAAGAGTATGTAAAATGTGTGCACTGAGGAGTGAACAGTAAATTCTCACTGCACTTCCTAAAAATACCTTGATTCTCCAGTAGCGGGCAGTGCGGTCATACACTCCTACTGTTCCGTTGGCCAAAGCATAACCAAATCTGCTGCCATGCATGTGACAGAGCGATGTCACTGTCTGAGAGGAACAGAAATCAACCAGCAAGCTTATACTTTTTCCCACAGATCTGATAAGCCGTGATGCCGCACTCAGAAATTGTATACATCTTTTTCTACATGGTTACCTCATTCTCTGCCATCTCTGATACCAGCTCATCCTCTCTGAATACCCTGATGTCAAAGTCTTCTGATCCCACAAGAAGCTGCAATGCAAGCATTTTGGGAAATTATGCACGACACATACATTGACATGCCAAATATGTATTATTAAATATCTCGGTGAGACTTTCTAGCATGTTCCCATACTTGAAAGTGTATTCATCCAAGCACTCGGTTCTCATTAATCTAGTCTTGTGACAGAGGACAAGACATATGGAAATCTGAGCTCTTAATTTGTCTTTGTTTTCTGTGACTGGAATATCTGCAATTCTTATCCATCTTTAAAAATATTACTTAGAAAAGAAAACTTTATTTTGAGTAAAAAACAAAACAAATAAAAGCATATACTTACCTAGCACTTTATTAGGAACTCCTGTTCACCTACTCACTCATGCAATTATCTGATCAGCCAATCATGTGGCAGCAGTGCAGTGCATAAAATCATGCAGATACAGGCCAGCGACTCGGGTAGTGTTCACATCAACCATCGTAATGAGGAAAAAATGTGATCTCAGTTATTTTTGACTGTAGCAAGATTGTGTATGCCAGATGGGCTGGCTTGAATATTTCTATAATTGCTAATCTCCTGGGATTTTCATGCATAACTCATGCCTCTAGAGTGTACTCAACTGAGAACGGTCAGACTGGTTCAAGCTTACAGAAAGGCTACAGTAACTCAGATAACTGCTCTGTATGAATATGCTAGGCAGATAAGCATCTTAGAATGCACAACACGTCGAACTCACAAGCCCCTGTCTGGCTGTCATGCACTTGGAGTTTGTCCCAGAGGACAAGAGTGTCGCCTCAGTGCAAATTAAAATTCCAGGGAGGAAAATTCTGACTCCACCTACAGACTACATAGTCTTGCTGGGAGACTTCAATGCTCATGTTGGCAATGACTGGGAAACCTGGAGGGGGTGATCGGGAAGAATGGCCTGCCTAAACTTAACCCAAATGCTAAATTGTTACTGTTGTCAAGGACATTCATAAGTGTACTTGGTACTAGAGCTCCTTGGGTCAAAGGTCCATAAGTTCTGGACACTGAAAAGAGGTGCTGAGCGAATAGTGAGGGTGTGCTGGGAACAGCTGACAGAGGCCCCTGTCCAGAAACATTTTAACTCCCACCTCTGGAAGAACTTTTCTCATGGGCTGGAGGAGGTAGGGGACATGGAGTCCAAGTGGACCCTGTTCAAAATCTCCACTGTGGAAGCCACAGTGTATATAAATCAGCCTTAGTAGAGCGATATAGTCAGAGACTAATCTTAGGCTTACACATCTTTGGATCCAGTTGAACAGTGCTGTTTGGCAAGTCTCACACACACAATAAAATTAGGGTTCTTACTTCATTCTTCCCGTCACCAGTGAAGTCACACAGCACCAGTGATCGCACATTATCTCCGGTAACCTTTAAGCACAAACACATATTCCAGAAAGTTAATCTCCTTGAAAATTCTGGAAGAATGAAACAAAATGACCTTGCAGACTGCCTTACTGTCCAGAACTGGTCATTTCCCTCATAGTCAAAGCCCTGAAGAGCACAGTTCCCTCCAATAATGGCAAGAGGTGACTGAATGTCCCCTAACTTTCCCAGAACAATGGCATTGGCTCCATCTGTCACCTGCAACCAATCATAATTACTAAAGAAAGATTTTTACTGAATATTTTATAAGCTGGATGACACTGTATTAACACTGTAATTCAAATAAAACCGATTACATTTAACAGATTTAAAACTAAGAAGGTTTCCAAAATATATCAGTCTGTTCAACAATTAAAACAGTTAAACCATCATGACAGCTACACTCACCTCCCTGTAGAATATGTCAGCATTGTCATGTACATCGTAAGCTAGCAGATTGGTTTGCGAGCCCACCAGAAGTGTGTCTCCTGTGGTGTTGGGTCCCAAAGTGCCTGCTGTCAGGCAGCTTACTGCCTGGTTGATATTAAGCAAGGATATGTCAGAGTCTTGGGTACTCTGACTGAGTCTGTGAGCTGTTTGCCTCTGTCCTCGACTGTGAGGGTTATGGATGAACACCTGGAAGGGTTTGAAAGATTGAAAGATTGGTTCTTAATCTGAACCAGAGAGGCACTTATCACAGTTTATATCTTTTCAAATTACATGTACAAGGTAATCTTGCCAAGGGTTCAGTTTGTTATATCAAAGCCCATGAAAAAAAAATTATGCCAGTGGGCTGCGGCTAATGACATAAATGGGTTCTAATATAATGCTATTAAGAAGAAGTGCTGCGAAAAAGCATTGGTCCCATTCCCAATTTCAATTTACCACTGCATATTTGTTGCACGTGAATGTTTCAGATCATCAAGCTATTTTTAACATTAGATAAAGTTACATCTTGTGTAAAGCTAACTCTGCATTTCACCATAAGAACATCATAACAACACTCAAAGACTGTAGTGGTAGTGTGATGTTCTAGGGCTGCTCTGCTTCTGCAGGATGTGGATGACTTGTCATAATTGATATAACCTTGAATTTTGCTCTCTATCATAAAATCCTGAAGGAGGATGTCTGTCAGCTCATGACCTAAAGCTCAAGTACTGTTGGGTTATACAGCAGGACAATAATCCAAAGCACACAAGCAAGTACACCTCTGGCTCAAAAGAAATAAAATTAAGGTTTTGGAGTGGCTGAGTCAAAGTCCTGACTTGAATCCCATTGAGATGCTGAGGCAAGACCTCAAACGGGCAGTTCACGCTTGAAAACCCTCCAGTGTAGCCGAATTAAAACAATCCTGCAAAGAACAGTGGGCCAAAGATTCATTGCAAATGTTTGATTGCAGTTGTGATTGCCAAGGTTGGCACCCCTAGGTTTAAGAGAGCATTTACTTTTACATATGGGTAATATAAATTTCCTTTTATTTAAAGTTTCCTTTTATTTTAAGATTTAAAATCTGCATTTTGTGTTTACTCGTGTTGTCTTTATCGCATATTAAAATTAGTTGGATGATCAGAAACACTTAAATGTGACAGATCAGCAAAAATAGAGGGAACTGAGTGAGGGGCAAATACTTTTTCACAGCACTGTATATCTGCACATAATATTTAGTACTGGAAAAAAAATCATTTCTTCCAGTGCTAAACAGGTAAAAATTATATATAATTAGCATACCTAGCCACAGTTCTGCTTCCCTCTTTCAGATGTTTTGAACACTGCTCTTACCTTGCCTGCTTGCGTAGCTGCAGTCAGACATGGATGAATCCCATCAAACTTTCCCACGGTGACCATACGCGGGTTAATCTTATGGTTAAGCTTGAGGGTGAAGATTGGGACCAACATGGTGGCACCGTTTAATGGAGAAGCACACCTCTGCAGCCTACAGTCTAACAAAGAGGGAAAATGTGATGTCCTATTGTTCAGTGACTTATAGGTAAACTATTAGTGTGTGTAATAACTGTGAAAGTAACTATATAATAATGCCAGCTGTCCGGACCCTGCGTTTGTCTGATCTCGCTCCTCTCTAATAGAATAAACAGCTTACTGCGCTGCTCTCTCCCGCTGGGCTTCCGTTACCTAGCAACACACGGAGGCTTTTGCTAACATGCTAGCAAGTCAGCTAATCCCCGCATTTGCCCTTCTGTTCGCCCCTTTTTAAAAAAACAACAAAAAAACGAAGTCTTGCTTATACACCCTCTATGTCTGACTGTATAGCTTCAGAATATATTCCAAACATGCGCTAACAGGCTGATGAGGCTAGCAGGAGCTGAGTATCTGCGATAAGCTAAAGACTAACGTTACTCCAGCAAACCAGAGCCACCTAGTAGTTAGTATTTAGGTTAGCTAACTCAAAGGTTTGAATGGTTACATTGCCTTCATTGATCCCGATAACGTGTCGATACACTGTGAAAAAAGTAAAAATCTGAAGGGAAAAAAAAAAATCTTACCCGGATCCCTGGCTTGCCGATAGACAGGCTTCTGACTAGCGAGCCTACTGGCTAACTAGAAACCCTAATTCTGACACTAAAGGGGAGTTTCACCACGCATGCGCACAGTCGAGTCTGTGGAGGACACAAGACTCCAACGCCTGAAAAAGTCTTGGCGCAAACGAGATTTACCATGTAAATAAAGGAAAATTTTCAAAAAGGTTCTATTTAGAACCATATACAGCACATTCTTCACTCTCCCACACTTCTGGTGGGCTCTCCATCTAAAGAACCTTTTCACCATGCAAAGAACCATTTATGCATTAAATGTTTAGAACTCTAAACAGATCAATTCCTAAAGTACCTTTGAAAAAACCATCTTCTTTTTAAAGAATATAGCTGTACTCTCAGCCTCCACAACCCCCACTTCGGCCTCAAACAGTCAATTTGTCCTCAGTGCCCTGTGTACCCTAACGTCATATCTGTACCTGATAATATCATAAAGACCCTGCAGTTGTTAAAGATTCACTCTGAGAAAACTGCAGATCTTCTATTCTTTGTTAAACTATACAGATAAGCTTTGGTCCTGTAGGATTTGTACAGGATTCAAGAATATTGTAGTTAATTCAGACAATGACTGCAGTTTACTACAGAAACTACGTAAGTATTATAGATATAACTATATATATTACTATAATATAGTAATTCAAGATTATTAAAGCATGGGACAATATTGTAATTATTACAGAAGTGTCAAACAGAAATCTAATAGTTTCTTATGGTGTCTTTGTGATAAGAGAAGCTGCTGATAGACACAAATAATATTCTTTTGTCATACACACATGCCTTGAATAATAATAGTGCATTGTTGGAGCACTTTTTAATTCTTTCTTTTGTGATTTATGATGTTCTCACTGTCATGCTCACTATTTTTCTATTTAATTTCATAACTCAATCTTTGAGATGTACACAGTAATCCAGAGTCATTTGCTGTGAAAATGGTGCACTGTCTTTACCTTACTGACTGATTTCATTACAATAGTGGTAAAAGGAACCAGGGGTTGCAATGTCTGCAGCACAGACAGAGCCATTTTATTTACTACCCAAAATGAACAGTGAACCTACACATGTCTTTTAAGGTTTGAATAAAATGCCATGAATGGAATGGATAGAATAATTATGTTTTAGGCCAAAACCTTATCTGTCAAAACAATGTCTCAGGCATCAGACAATGTAAAAACTAATGCTAAAACCCTTCAGCTTTTAGACGTCTCATACGTCTGGTTCCTATCAGCAACACTGTGAACACTTAACTCAGCAAGTTTCTCTAGAATTGTACATCTCACATTAAATACGTTACATCAAAAGATGTAAACTTAGTTTACATCTGAATAAAGTAATTATGTAGAGATTTAAAAAAAGAATTCCCCTTTAATGTGTGATTACTCCCTCTGGCTGTTATGTTGCTGTTATAATAAAAGAGGGGGTATATTTTAGCTTTTGTATTTCTGTCTATGAAGCCCCAAACGCTCTTTTCTCTGTAAGAATTCTCAAATAAATCATTATCTAAGGATTGCCTCCTCTCAGGGTCTCAGTTCAGCGGTTTAAATGCAAATTTATTAAATGTGACACAGTTTGCAATTAGACATGGAATCATTTGTAAACTGTCAAATTCATTATGATAGCAGTATATTCAGCTTTAGCCAAAATATCCTGTTACACCATGAAAAAAGGATGGTAAAGATGGTACTTCGAGGGTTCCTTACTAAAGGAACTGGTTCTATTTAGAACCATGAGTTCTATATAGAACCATTTCATGCTTAAATGGTTCTTTGTATTAAAACATTCTTCAGATTGATGGAGAAAGTGTTGTATATGGTTCTATTTCAAACTTTTTTGGAAATGGTTCTATACACCACCAACAAGGGTTCATCAATTATTACAATGCCAAGCTCCAAAAGGTTCCAAAAGACTCTATAAAGAACAACAATAACACGTTTTCAAGAGCCTTTAACGAGCCATCTTTTTTTAAGCATGTAGGCTAATACTGTAGCTGAACAGCCAGGTTTTCTGTCTAGTTTCAGAAACAAAGAGCACACCAGAATAATCAAATGTACAAATCTAGAGGGTAGTAAATTCTTCATACTGACAAAACAGGATTTCTGAGGGGAAAGAAGTATCACAACTGAAGTTCAGGGCTCAGCCCTCTACAGACTGTTCTGGTGAGCGATGGCTTCCTTTCCAAAGTCATGGTGCTCTCTTCACTGTTTCGTGCTGGTCATGCTGGGGAATTTTTTGGAGCAGTGTTGATGGAAAAGTGCTTAGTCAGTAACCAACACTCAGTGAGTGCAACATTTTTTTTATTGTTTAATTGTAGGAAGTATACAACGACATTACATATAAAAACCAATAGCCAGGGGGTGAACTTGCACATTAAATAAATCACAATCAATATATAATTCCAAAGTCCTTTTTGCTTACTTGTTTTTTTTTTTATTTTTTTAAATAGTGCCATATTCCTTAATCTCATGGAGGAAATGTGTAACATTTTATCTGACTCTTGGCATATATTACGGGGCATACCTAATGATAAAAGACAAACAGGTTTCTATGTACTTTCAGCTTCAGATAACAAAATCCTTCCATTCAGCAAAAGATCCCTCCGTAACCAAAGATTAATTTTTTTTTTCCTTTCTCAAGGATACATTTCAAATTTACTGTACTTCACTCATTCTCACAGTTTTCTATAACAGCTCCTAAATATGTGACTTTTAGATGGCTGTTCCATTTATTTCTGTTAAGTCTCATGATGTTAATGGAAACAGTACAGATTTGTTTATATTCATTTTAAGACCTGAAACCTGTGACAAATCCTCGATACATTTCACCGCTTTATGAACTTCTGTATCATTTTTAAGAAAAGTGAAGTATCGCGAGTGCAAAACTATCGTTTAGAGTTTTGTTTACTCTGCTCTCGCCCGGAGTGCACACGATCTCAGTGCGCACGCGCTCCTTCACTACAGCGAGGGAAGTGAATCAGCTGAAGCGCCGTGTGCAATGTGTGAGCGCCAATAAGAACATTACAAAATAACAGTATTACAAATTAACTCAACCTACGTTTAAAGTAGGTTAAAAAATGTGATGTAATGGTAATCAAAATTAATGTCTTTCAGACCTTTTAATACTTAAAATGATTTGTAAGAAACCAAATAAATCACTTCTGAAGTAAAAATATCTAATTCCAAACTTTTGACGAAATATCAACTTTTGACGACTTTGATTTTAAAAAATGCAGAAGAAAATAAATACCGAGTATCGTCGCCTGTTTCATTCAGCACATTCGCCTGAATTAACGTTTATAGCTAAATTAATCTGATGGCTTTTCATTATATCCCCTTCATTCATAGACAACAGGCATATCAACAAACTCTCTGTTATATAATCATCTTAACAGACCCAGATCCGCCTGTTGAAAGACTTTTTTGATATGATAGTTTTTATGTACTAATATAAAGAAGTCTGAGTTTTGGTGGAGGGGGGTCTTAATTACTGTCTGATAGTTTGCGCTCAGTCTTGGTGGCGTAGTTCTGTCACTCAGCGAGCTAAAGCGTGTGCAGGCAGGAGAGGCAGGAGGGGCAGAAGGAGGAGGAGGGCGGGCTGTTTTGCACTCGTTCTGAGTGATTTCAGCTCCTTATAAATTCACCCTATTCATTCACCAGATACATTCAGCCTTCACTCACAACAAGAGATACTTTCTCCAGACTTCTCGGACTGAAACCAGCACAAAAAATGGATCCCTGCGACTGCACCAAGAGTGAGTATCTGCTTTGCGTCTTATGTTGATGTGTGATGGTAACTTTTGGTTTTGTATGGGAGCTGTAATCTTCCTTTTTCTTAACTCTAAGCCTTACTTCATGTATTTCTCTAATATAGCTGGAAGCTGCAGCTGTGGTTCAAGCTGCAAATGCACAAACTGCCAGTGTACATCCTGCAAGAAAAGTAAGTTTCCAGTATTCTCTTCCTCTTGAGCTGACTAACTTTTACAGGTCTGTTACATTAATGGGCCATGTTGCTGACAAATGAGAAGTTAAAAAATCCAGACAGCCATGAAGATCTGTTGACTGAATGTGATTAACAATTAACTTTGTTTCTCTCTTGTTTCCAGGCTGCTGCTCCTGCTGTCCATCTACCTGCAGCAAGTGTGCCTCTGGATGTGTGTGCAAGGGCAAATCCTGTGACTCCAGCTGCTGTCAGTGAAGACAACACTGTTACTGCTGACCCAGGATGTAAATTTGTATTCCATTGCCATTGTAACATGTAGCCTCCACTGATGTTTGTCTTTTTTAAGGCCAATAAATGCCACTGAAATTCTAAGCTGCACATGTTGAGAGTGAAGTCCTTCTAAAGTGTTGCTTTGTTAGTTGTGGTGTTAACCTGGTGGTCCCAGAGTCAATGTTGGAGACCCCATGCTCTCCACATTTTGTTCAACACCTGAGTGAGCTCATGAGTTTGAGAACTGACATTTTGAATCATGGAAAGCACAAGAAAGTGTGCTCAGTGTAGACCTTGCCTGACTGAAAATGTCACAACTAACATCATTGTAGTAAAATGTAAGCCCATAATCTTGCTTCTTAAATAGTGCATGTAGTGCCAAAGGACTCGTGGTGCACCATAAACATTAGTCCTTGTCTTGAAGTAAACTTGATGCCTGTCCAAAAATCCTTCTGAGGTGGCTGCACTGGAGTATTTTCCTGGCTCATGTGGGTTCAACAGCACCTGTGCTTCTCATTAAAGGGGAATTCTTCAAAAATGCCCAGTTTTAGAGAAACTTACCAAGTCAAAAGTCAGAATTGTTTACAGTGGTGGTGATGGGAACCAGATGTCTGAAGAATTGAATATTGATAAAAGCAATCAGAAAATTATTACATGAACTGGTTACAAATATGCAGCTTGATACCTGAGACATAGTTTTATGATAGTGTTGAGAAAGTTTTGGCCTAAAATGTGTTTTATAGTTGGGTGGTTGTCAGGCAAAAGAGTGACCAAAGAACTTTTGAATGATTATATTTGCATTGTAGACATTATGAACCCTGGTTCCCATCACCACCACAGTAAAGAAAATTTAAGTCAACAGGATTTCTGTACAGTGAACCCTTTTTACATCTCAATTATTAAACCACACTGAATTTTTGAAAAATCAGTGCAATTCCCCTTTAAATGTATCATATTCATGTATTTAAATTCAGAACAGCATAAGGTGGTAATGCACTGAAAAATGAGGTATGATGTCTATAAATCTGAAGTGATCCTTAAATAGTCTAATCACGACTCGTTTAAAATGACACAGAGCACGCTATTCTGGAGCACAAATCAAATTCTCCCAGCCCTTATATATATATATATATATATACACTGTTCAGGCATAACATCATGACCATGTCCATGTTTCTATGCTTTTTGTCCATTTTATCAGCTCCACTTACTATATAGGTGCACTTTAAAGTTCAACAATTACAGACTGTAGTCCATCTGTTTCTCTGCATACTTTGTTAGCCCGCTTTTACCCCGTCCGTCGGTGGTCAGGACCCCCATAGACCCTCACTGAGCAGGTACTATTTGGTTGGTGGATCATTCTCAGCACTGCAGTAACACTGACGTGGTGTGGTGTGTTAGTGTGTGTTGCACTGGTATGAGTGGATCAGACACAGCAGTGCTGCTGGAGTTTTTAAACACCTCAGTGTCACTGCTGGACTGAGAATAGTCCACCAACCAAAAATATCCAGCCAACAGTGTCCTGTGACCACTGATGAAGGACTAGAGGATGATCAACACAAACTGTGCAGCAGCAGATGAGCTATCGTCTTTGACTTTACATCTCCAAGGTGGACTGACAAGGTAGGAGTGTCTAATAGAGTGGACAATGAGTGGACACAGTTTTTAAAAACTCCAGCAGCACTGCTGTGTCTGATCCACTCGTACCAGCACAACACACACTAACACACCACCAGTGTTACTGCAGTGCTGAGAATCATCCACCACCCAAATAGTACCTGCTCAGTGAGGGTCTATGGGGGTCCTGACCACTGAAGAACAGGGTAAAAGGGGGCTAACAAGGTATGCAGAGAAACAGATGGACTACAATCTGTAGTTGTAGAACTACAAAGTGCGCCTATATAGTAAGTGGAGCTGATAAAATAGACAATGAGCATAGAAACAAGGAGGTGGTCATAATATTATGCCTGATAGGTGTATATATAGGCATTAGATAATGTAAAAACCCGTGTAAAAACTTGTGCTACACTTCTAAAAATGATAGTTCTTCAAGAGGTCTGTGGTGAAGAAAATGGTTCTGTGCAGAACCATGAAAACTTAAGGACACTTTACATGATTAAAGGGTTGCATCATTGAATGGTTCTTCATGGTTCTATTTAGAACTTTTTAGAAAATGGTTCTATGTTGCACCAAACAGGGTTCTATTGTTGTTACAATGTCAAGCTTCAAAAGTTTCTATATGGAACCATATACAACACATTTTTCAAGAGCCCTTGAAGAACCATCTTTTAAGTGTAGGCTAATACTGTAGCTGAACAGCCAGACTTTCTGTCTAGTTTCAGACTCTAATTAAGCAACAAGAGCACACCAGAATAATCAAATGCACAAATCTAGAGTAGTAAATTCTTCATATTGACAGAACAGGATTTCTGAGGGGAAAGAAGTATCACAACTGAAGTTCAGGGCTCAGCCCTCTACAGACTGTTCTGGTGAACGATGGCTTCCTTTCCAAAGTCATGGTGCTCTCGTCACTGTTTCATGCTGGTCATTCTGACACAGCACATGGAGCCAGTTTGATGGAAAAGTGCGCTCAGTCAGTAACCTCCATTCAGCGAGTGCAAAACTTTTTTTTAAAATTGTAGGAAGTATACAACAACATTACATACAACAACCAGTAGCCAGGGGGTGAACTTACATATTAAATAAATCACAATCAATATATAATTCCAAAGTCCTTTATGCTTTCTTATTTTTTTATTTTTTTAAATACTGCCTTATTCCTTAATGGCACAGAGGAAATGTGTGAAGTTTGTCTTATAATCAGACCATCTGTTCTTAAGTAAATGATATTTACCCATAATAATTAAGTATTGTACAAAAGAATACTTTAACATCTAATCTGTCCATAGAAAAATAAATAATGACATCTGAAACATCCAGTGTAATACAGTGTCCAGTCTTTCTTCTTACAAAATTGCCCACATCAATCCAGAACACTTTAGTATAAGTACACTGAAAGAACAGATGGATACGTGTTTTCTTTCCTAAACCACAAAAGAAATATTTATTAGTAATTCTAACTCTCTCTACAACACTTGTAACAAGGTAAAATTTTAATGTTAAAGTGTTGTGAAAAATTTTAAGTCACTTCTTTTATTTTATTATTCATACAATATTTATTACAAATTGCCAATGCTATATTCCGGTTTATGTTTGTTTATGTTTATGTTAGATTTGTCTGTACATTTACATATAAGAATATCAGTTTCCACAATAAAAAGCCCATTCCTTATGACATCCCTATCACTATTTGCTGAACCCTTAAGAAGCTGTACCATGTTGTGGTATAGCATCAAAAACTATATATAAACTTATTTGGTTGTGACTGACACTCCACATTTATTAAGAAATTCATTATATGTCAAAGAAAAACCATCAGCATTTAAATCAAATATATTTCACTAACATAATATTGTTATCAAACCATTTTTAAGAAAGAGTTATAGAGAAAAGAATATTCCTGTTATTCCAAATAATACCTTTGTGAGGGGAAAATGCAAAAGCCAGTGTCCAAGCTTGCAGAGCCTGAAATTCGGATGGTTTAACAGATAATTTATCAAATTTATGGTCACATCTCAGTGAGAATTCTATACCACCATCAAATTAAACAAATGCATTGGAAACGTATTCCATATATTATTTTTTTCTTGAATGGGTCGAAGAAGCCAATTAACTTTAACTTTTAAACACTTCTAAACCACCATTACTTTTTTATAACATAAAATATGTTTTTTTAAATAATAAGGTCTGTTCTTCATGTTACAGGGCATATCTAATGATTAAGATATATAAACAGATCTGGAGATACCTTCAGTTTTGGAGAACAAAATCCTTCCATTCAGTGAAAGATCTCTCTGTAACCAAAGATTCATTTTTCTTTAACTTTTACAAAGATAGATTTCAAATTTACTGTACTTCACTCGTTCTCACAGTTTTCTATAACAGCTCCTTAATATGTGACTTTTTGATGGCTGTTCCATTTATTTCTGTTAAGTCTCATGATGTTAATGGAAACAGTACAGATTTGTTTATATTCATTTTAAGACCTGAAACCTGTGACAAATCCTCGATACATTTCACCGCTTTTTGAACTTCTGTATAATTTTTAAGAAAAGTGAAGTATCGCGAGTGCAAAACTATTGTTTAGAGTTTTGTTTACTCTGCTCTCGCCCGGAGTGCACACGATCTCAGTGCGCACGCGCTCCTTCACTACAGCGAGCGAAGTGAATCAGCGGAAGTGCCGTGTGCAATGTGTGAGCGCCAATAAGAACATTACAAAATAACAGTATTACAAATTAACTAAATTAAACCTACAATGAACTTAAGTTAAAAATGTGATATAACAGTAATTAAACGGTCTTTCAGACCTTTATACTTAAAATTATTTGTGAAAAACTAAGTAAATCAGTTTTGAAGTAAAAATTTTAAATACCAAACTTTTGACAAAATAACAACTTTTGACAACTTTGATTTTAAAAAATGCTGACTCTCGTATCCTGTTTCATTCAGCACATTTGCCTGAATGAAATTTTATAGCAAAATTACTCTCAGGACTTTTCATTACATCCCCTTCATTCATAGACAACAGGCATATCAACAAATTCTCTATTATATAATAATCCTAACTGTTGAAAAACCTTTTTGGAAAGGATAACAGCTCTTATGTAATGACCTAAACAAGGCCGAGTTTTGGTGGAGGGGGGTCTTAATTATTGTCTGATAATTTGCACCCAGTCTTGGTGGCGTAGTTCTGTCACTCAACGAGCTAAAGCGTGTGCAGGCAGGAGGGGCAGAAGGAGGAGGAGGGCGGGCTGTTTTGCACTCGTTCTGAGTGATTTCAGTTCCCTATAAATTCACCCTGTTCATTCAGATGAACCAGATACATTCAGCCTTCACTCACAACAAGAGATACTTTCTCCAGACTTCCTGGACTGAAGCCAACACTTATCACAAAAAATGGATCCCTGTGACTGCGCCAAGAGTGAGTATCTGCTTTGCGTCTTATGTTACTTTTGTCAGTGTTATGGTGACTTTTGGTTTTGTATGGGAGCTGTAATCTTCCTTTTTCTTAACTCTAAGCCTTACTTCATGTATTTCTCTAATATAGCTGGAAGCTGCAGCTGTGGTTCAAGCTGCAAATGCACAAACTGCCAGTGTACATCCTGCAAGAAAAGTAAGTTTCCAGTATTCTCTTCCTCTTGAGCTGACTAACTTTTACAGGTCTGTTACATTAATGGGCCATGTTGGTGACAAATGAGAAGTTAAAAAAATCCAGACAGCCATGAAGATCTGTTGACTGAATGTGATTAACAATGAACTTTGTTTCTCTCTTGTTTCCAGGCTGCTGCTCCTGCTGTCCTTCTAGCTGCAGCAAGTGTGCCTCTGGATGTGTGTGCAAGGGCAAATCCTGTGACTCCAGCTGCTGTCAGTGAAGACAACACTGTTACTGCTGACCCAGGATGTAAATTTGTATTCCATTGCCATTGTAACATGTAGCCTCCACTGATGTTTGTCTTTTTTAAGGCCAATAAACGCCAATGAAATTCTAAGCTGAACATGCTGTGAGTGAAGTCCTTCTAAATTGTTGCTTTGTTAGTTGTGTAGTGTTAACCTGGTGGTCCCAGAGTCAATGTTGGAGACCCCATGCTCTCCACATTTTGTTCAACACCTGAGTGAGCTCATTAGTGTAGTAAAATGTGAGCTCATCTTGCTTCTTAAATGGTGCATGTAGTGCCAAAGGACTTGTGGTGCACCATAAACATTAGTCCTTGTCTTGAAGTAAACACTTGATGCCTGTCCAAAGATCCTTCTGAGGTGGCTGCACTGGAGTATTTTCCTGGCTGATGTGGGTTCAACAGCACCTGTGCTTCTCATTAAAGGGGAATTCTTCAAAATTCAGAAGAATTAAATATCCTTAAAAGCTCTCAAAATTATTATATGAATGGGTTACAAATATACAGCTTGATACCCAAATCATTGTTTTATGATAGTTTTGAGAAAGTTTTGGCCTAAAACATGTTTTATAGTTGGGCTGTTGTCGGGCAAAAGAGTGATCATAGGACTTTTGCCAGATTAACCACTACCATTATATTGGGCAGTGAACAAAACGGCTATATTTGCATTGTGGACGTCATGAACCCTTGTTCCCAACAACACCACAGCAAAAAATCTAAAGCAATGGGATTTCTCTACAGTGTACCCCTTTTACATCTCAATTATTAAACCACACTGATTTTTTGAAAAATCAGTGCAATTTCCCTTTTAAATTTATTTTCATGTATTTATATCCAGAACAGCATAAAGTGGTCACGCACTTAAAAATGAGGTATGATGTTGTCTGTAAATATGAAGTGACCTTAAATAGTCTAATCACATCTTGTTTACAATAATCCAATTCTCCCAGCATTTCATATATATATATATATATATATATATATATATATATATATATAAACATGATTTATGATAGGTAATTGTAACAGAAAATGTTTAATTAAAAAAGTTCAATTTGTGCAGTTTATAAAAGTTATAAAAGTTCATTAATAAAACTTTGAAAAGTTCTTGTTTAATGAAATCTTTATCTGCTGTCCTTCAGTTTGTCTGATCTAGTAGTTCTGTGGCGCCACATGCTAAATCTGGCAGGATCACGAAAGCAGAGAGGTGAGAGAGTGTTATTCAGCTATTAGTGCGCCTTGCAACAGCATTCGGTGTGTAAATAAAGTTATTTTGAAAGACGGTTCTTCAAGGGTTCTTTAGTAACGGGAAAGGTTCTGTTTAGAACCATGAGTTCTATGTAGAACTGTTTAATGCTTAAATGGTTCTTTGCATGGGGAAAACGTTCTTCAGATTGATGGAGAATGTGTTGTATATGGTTCTATTTAAAACCTTTTTGAAAATGGTTCTATATACCACCGACAAGGGTTCATCTATTGTTACAATGCCAAGCTCCAAAAGGTTCCAAAAGACTCTATAAAGAACCATATACAACACATTTTCAAGAGCCTTTGAAGAGCAACCTTTTTAAGAATGTAAGCAAATACTGTAGCTAAACAGCCAGGCTTTCTATCTGGTTTCATACTCCAATAAAACAGTAGAGAGCACACCAGAACATTCATATTCACAAATCAAGAGGGTAATAAATTCTTCATACTGACAGAACAGGATTTCTGAGGGGAAAGAAGTGTCACAAGTGAAGTTCAGGGCTCAGCCCTCTACAGACTGTTCTGGTGAGCGATGGTTTCCTTTCCAAAGTCATGGTGCTCTCTTCACTGTTTCGTGCTGGTCATGCTGACACAGCACATGGAGCCAGTTTGATGGGAAAAGTGCTCAGTCAGTAACCTCCACTCAGCGAGTGCAAAACTTTTTTTTTATTGTTTAATTGTAGGAAGTATACAACGACATAACATACAACAACCAAGAGCCAGGGGGTGAACTTAATAATCAGTATATAATTCCAAAGTCCTTTATGCTTTCTTGTTTTTTTTTATTTTTAAATAGTGCCATATTCCTTAATGTCATGGAGGAAATGTGTAAAATTTGTCTTATAATCAGACCATCTGTTCTTAAGTAAATGATATTTACCCATAATAATTAAGTATTGTACAAAAGAATACTTTAACATCTAATCTGTCCATAGAAAAATAAATAATGACATCTGAAACATCCAGTGTAATACAGTGTCCAGTCTTTCTTCTTACAAAATTTTCCACATCAATCCAGAACACTTTAGTATAAGTACACTGAAAGAACAGATGGATACGTGTTTCCTTTTCTAAACCACAAAAGAAATATTTATTAGTAATTCCAAATCTCTCTAAAACACTTCTAACAAGGTAAAATCTTAATGTTAAAGTGTTGTGTAAAATTTTAAAAATCACTTCTTTTATTTTATTATTCATACAATATTTATCACAAACTGCTCATGCTTTATTCCTGTTTAGGTTCCCAAATAAAAAAGACCAATATGGTTTATAAATTCTTTGATTACATATGACTTTCAGAGTAAATTTGTTTGTACATTTATATTTAAGGATATCAGTTTCCCGAATAAAAAGCAATTCCCTATGACATCCACATCACTATTTGCTGAACCCCTAAGAAGCTGTACCATTTGTTGTGGTATAACATATTCTTTGGTTGTAACTGGCACTCCAAATGTGTTAAGAAATTCACTATATGATAATAAAAAGCCACCAGCATTCAAAAGTTGATTCATTATTATAATATAGTTATCAAACTTCTTTTTTAGAAAAAAATATTCTTAAATGATTGCAGTTGATTGCTCAATTTTATAGTCATAACTCAGGAAAAATTCTATACCACCCATCAAATGAAATAAATACTTTGGAAATGTATTCCATATATTATTTTTTTCTTGAATGAGTCGAACAAGCCAATTAACTTTAAATATATTATAGATGTAAAGAAGATAGATTTCAAATTTACTGTACTTCACTCATTCTCACAGTTTTCTATAACAGCTCCTAAATATGTGACTTTTTGATGGCTGTTCCATTTATTTCTGTTAAGTCTCATGAGGATAATGAGAAACAGTACAGATTTGTTTATATTCATTTTAAGACCTGAAACCTGTGACAAATCCTCGATACATTTCACCGCTTTTTGAACTTCTGTATCATTTTTAAGAAAAGTGAAGTATCGCGAGTGCAAAACTATCGTTTAGAGTTTTGTTTACTCTGCTCTCGCCCGGAGTGCACACGATCTCAGTGCGCACGCGCTCCTTCACTACAGCGAGGGAAGTGAATGAGCTGAAGTGCCGTGTGCAATGTGTGAGCGCCAATAAGAACATTACAAAATAACAGTATTACAAATTAACTCAACCTACAATAAACTTAAGTTAAATATAATAGTAATTATGTCTTTCAGACTTTTTAATACTTAAAATGATTTGTAAGAAACTAAATAAATCAGTTCTGAAGTAAAAACATCAGCAAGTGTGTAAAGTTTTACTAACATTTGTCAAATTTGATTTTAAAAAATGCTGAAGAAAATAAATCATCTTAACTGTTGAAAGACCTTTTTGGAAAGGATAACAGCTCTTATGTAATGATATAAATTCCGACTTTCGGTGGTTTGATATTGTCTGATAATTTGCACCCAGTCTTGGTGGCGTAGTTCTGTCACTCAGTGAGCTAAAGCGTGTGCAGGGAGGAGGAGGAGGGGCAGAAGGAGGAGGGCGGGCTGTTTTGCACTCGTTCTGAGTGATTTCAGCTCCCTATAAATTCACCCCGTTCATTCACCAGATACATTCAGCCTTCACTCACAACAAGAGATTTTTTCTCCAGACTTATCGGACTGAAACCAACACTTCTCACAAAAAAATGGATCCCTGTGACTGCGCCAAGAGTGAGTATCTGCTTTGCGTCTTATGTTACGTGTGATGGTAACTTTTGGTTTTGTATGAGAGCTGTAATCTTCCATTTTGTTAACTCTAAGCCTTACTTCATGTATTTCTCTAATATAGCTGGAAGCTGCAGCTGTGGTTCAAGCTGCAAATGCACAAACTGCCAGTGTACATCCTGCAAGAAAAGTAAGTTTCCAGTATTCTCTTCCTCTTGAGCTGACTAACTTTTACAGGTCTGTTACATTAATGGGCCATGTTGCTGACAAATGAGAAGTTAAAAAATCCAGACAGCCATGAAGATCTGTTGACTGAATGTGATTAACAATTAACTTTGTTTCTCTCTTGTTTCCAGGCTGCTGCTCCTGCTGTCCATCTACCTGCAGCAAGTGTGCCTCTGGATGTGTGTGCAAGGGCAAATCCTGTGACTCCAGCTGCTGTCAGTGAAGACAACACTGTTACTGCTGACCCAGGATGTAAATTTGTATTCCATTGCCATTGTAACATGTAGCCTCCACTGATGTTTGTCTTTTTTAAGGCCAATAAATGCCAATGAATTTCTAAGTTGAACATGCTATGAGTGAAGTCCTTCTAAATTGTTGCTTTGTTAGTTGTGTAGTGTTAACCTGGTGGTCCCAGAGTCAATGTTGGAGACCCCATGCTCTCCACATTTTGTTCAACACCTGAGTGAGCTCATTAGTTTGAGAACTGACAGGTTGGATAATGGAAAGCACAAGAAAGTGTGCTTAGTGTAGTGTCTTCAGGACTGAGATTGGGAACACCACTGTTAAATCCACTAGAGATGGCCTATTTTAAAACAAGTTACTTCTAGTCAGAGCTAAACCTTGACTGAAAATGTCACATCTACCCTCAGTGTAGTAAAATGTGAGCTCATCTTGCTTCTTAAATGGTGCATGTAGTGCCAAAGGACTTGTGGTACACCATAAACACTAGTCCATGCCTTGAAGTAAACACTTGATGCTTGTCCAAAGATCCTTCTGAGGTGGCTACACTAAAGTATTTTCCTGGCTCATGTGGGTTCAACAGCACCTGCACTTAAATTTCATTAAAGGGTAATTCTTTAAAAATGCTCAGTTTTAGAGAAACTTACCAAGTCAGAATTGTTTATGGTGGTGGTGATGGGAACCAGATGTCTGAAGAATTTAATATCTCTAAAAGCTCTCAAAAGTTTAT